CCTAGACTGTCTTTCATCCGGTTGCGATGGTCATTGAGGAGGTCCTGGACCCACTGCCGACCAGATAGGAAAGATGTGTGGTAAGGCTCTGGATTGAGGTGATTCCAGGATTCTTCGATTGCAGTGATAGCGGTGGCAACAGTGACAATGACAGTATGACACTATATAAGGGTCACCCTTGAATGTGTATAAATGGGATTAACAAACAAACAAACAGTCACCACTATTGTAGCCCGTCTACGGCGCTCGATATGAGCCCGATGGACAGATGGACAGCTTGGTGAACGTCGACAGCTGCTCTTGTGCGGACCATGGCAAAGCGGGGATGAAGCAGAGCCCATGTAATAAGTCATAGCTATCAGTATACAAGATACATGTATGAGTTCAGGGCGCTTGTCTCCTCCGGATTTCACGGATACTTCGCCCCTGTAACTCTAACTCGCGCAGAAATCCTCGGAAGTGCTGCCACATGACATAATGCCGGTGACTCGTAACTCCAACTCTTTGCCGAACAGGCCCTAAAGCAATCTCTCTTGCGCTGCGCACTCGTGCGTCGCGTCGAATATCATCTCTCTCCTCCACCGTCGACCGTCGGCGCTTGCCTGTTGTGCACTTCTCTGAATAACCACGCTATATATGCTGCAAGAGACTCATAGCACGGATACGGAGACATCCATCAGTCTCTCCCAAGGAGTACAATGTCAAGAGCGTGATCAATCGCGCCTTCGGACTTCAACTCCGGGATCCCTAACGAGTCTCCCATTCGACTTGATCCACATCCTACTCGACTACACGGGCTCCATTGACCTCGTCCACCTATGCAGTACTTGCAAAGAACTATATACACATCTCGAGAACCCGTCCGTTTGGATACGCTTATGTGCATCCTATGGCCTTCGGGACTTTACGCGCTTCGGCGACATATCTCCTCGGACTATCTACTCTTCTCTTCTCTATCCGTATGGAGGGCTGCTTGGACTATGGGCAGGAGACCATCCGTTTACTGGGAGTATCATGGAGTACAGGCTCTTCCCAGGAGACGAGCATGAGCAAGGAGGCATCGTAGGCGAGGTCTGGCATTTTGCTAGATCACAAACCGCCACAGACGACGACGCTGTCCCTCCTGACTACATCCGCGTGCTCAAGATCAGTTTCGGAAATTTGCCTGCAGACTTCCCCAGTTCACAAGCAGACGGACCTCTTACCGACGATACCCCCAAAGTTCACGTCATTTGCGATACCAACGCTCTGCCTTCTGAAGCCCCACATCCTTCCCAGGACGTCCCTCCAGATACCAGAAAGGTCGGAACCCCGCACCTTTCCTCCCTCGGAATCATACCCTCATCCAGAACCGTACATCATATCGAATTCTACCGCCGGACAGTCGACCTCCCCGAATTCCCCAAACCCGACGCGGCCTGGTTCGACAGCTCGCCCTCGCGCCTCCCGCGCCTCCGCGCCCTCCCCGCAGAGCCAGACGCAGACCAGCGTAGCATCATCAAGATCTTCCCCGCGATGCAGCTCCCGAGGATCTGGAGCTCCCCGACCGCGACCGTCCCGCGCCCCGCGATCTCCATCCGCTGCCCCTATAAACACCAGTGCGCGTGCTTCGCGCTGCGCGTCCCCCCGCTACCGTTCACGGCCCTTGACCCGGCGCACTCGCAGTACTATCCCATGAAGCGCGACATCGTGCCTGGGGTCGACCCGCGCTCGCCCGGGTTCACGCTTGATAGCCTCCGGGGAATCTGGTATGGCTCGTACGGCATCGACGGGACGGAAGTCCTGCATGTTGCTCGCGCGGCGCCCTTGATCAGCGGGATGGGCGCGACGAAGCTCACGGGGGATATTCACGTCCCCCGGGGGGCAATCACTTGGATCGTAGACGACGCTGGGGAGGAAAGCGAGGACGTCCGGCTAGCACGCGAGTTTTGGGCTGAGATGCGTGGGGAGCAGCCCGCGCGTCTTTATACTGGGAGGGGTGTTCTGGCAGCGCGAGGATTCGTGTAAGTCGCCGTGTGGCGGTCTATACTGCTGGCAAAGATTCATGAGGTTGATTGCATCGTCTAGAGAGACGAGCGTAGTGGGAATCATCGCGGCGATTATGAATGCAGATGAGATCCATGTCTTCTGGACCGCGCTCCATGATTTCCAGATATATCGGAGGTACAAGGGTCGGGAGGGAGCCACGCATGATATCCTCCTGCAGAGAGAGTGAAGGGAAGGCGTATGAATATCTTCCATGGAGTGCTGCGTTGACCTGAAGGTGAGTCCCTGGACGCAAAAGTCAAATCAGATGTTGACTGAGCATGTAGCTGTCGGATTCCTCTAAATATGTCCCGTTATGATGCTCGCATCCTGTGCTCAGTCCGGGAGGGTCAATATGAATATATATATCGTACAAGACCTGAATGATCCGATCGTGTGGGGGCGTCACGGAACAAGAGCCGACGAACGCTGTACCATAGACAAACCCTGCGAGAGGGTCTTGGGGGTTTCCAAAAATTCCCCTTACGGACTGATAGCCAGGCAGCATGAAAGCCCGCTGATAACAGGCCACCCCTCATACTCAAATGGTACAGGATACCCCACCATGCAGACAGAAGTCTGCGTGCCCACCAAAATATCTCGTGCGGCACACAGTCGGCTCGAGCACACGGCCTCACCTCACCCAGGACAACCTAGCCAGTCTCTGAAGGCTCGCGTGATCCCCTGCTGAGACACAACGTGCAACCCGCGCGCAGTGAGCGATCACGGGCCGCGCGTCGCCGCGAATCGACGGAGAGTCGGAAGGCCCTCCTGAGCAACAAATGGTCGCGCGCCCGGACCGACGCTCGTGCGCACAGGAAGTGTTGGTGTGCTCCTTGGGCGATTGACACACGAGCGAGTTCATGCAGACACAAGGCTGCACAATCGGTTCGCATGAGCCCTGGAGGAGGGGTCAAAAATCCTGCCCAAAGCTGGGTGACCAAGCACCCAGCTTCGGATTCAAGCGATAAGGTGAATTGTCGTTGTGCGTAGCTATCCTGAATTGCCAGACAATGATACAAACACGCCGTGCAATGAGGGGCCTCACCAGTCTTGCGATGCACGCTTCTCCTCGCCAATGCTCTTTTGTCAGTGCATGCAGACGAAACGCGGGTGATAGCCACGCGAGTGCTACTGTGTCCATCTCGCACATGAAGCAGAATAATCTTCCCCTTGGCCCCGCGGGTACAGACACCTAGATTGACATTGATATTTTGCTTATTGCATAACAGACCGTCATTTGGCATCATGCTATAGACGGACCCTTCGAGAGGGTCTTCAGATTCCAAAAATTGGCACTACGAAACCTATTACAGGTAGGCAGCGCTTTGCCACTCCTCATACTCGAACATATACAGGAAGCCCCATCCCAGTTCTGAAGCCCAAAGTTTGCTCAGCCACACATGCAAGCCAGTCTAGGAAACCCATGGTATATGTTCTGTGCAGCCATCGGGCAGCTAAGAGCGCGCGACGAATCAACACATATACGCATGGGCATGTGTCCTAGGCTTTCCAGGCGCGCATGGTGAGAAGAGCTTTTGGTCTTGCAACAGGGTCCTCTGATCCGAGCTCACACGATGCGTGATGCTTCAACGCTGACGAGAGAGCCCGGAAGGGTGGCTTTCTCAGCCTTATCCTGCCCAAAGCCGTGTGAACGACGTCACATAGCTCGGGTTCGAGCGATAGAATGGTGAACGAGTGTGCGTGCATGTGCGGGGTGGATTCAAGTCCACCTGTTCTGTATGAAAGCCCTCCTCGCTGGACGAGGGAGTCTCTGGGCGGTGCATGATGGACTATGTCCGTAAAGCAAGCCAGCGAAGGCGAGCATCTACGGCAGGCGTCGCTCGAAGCGATCAGTGCATGAGTGCATCCCCAATAGGCTTTCGATGAGCCGCATTGTCGCCCTTCAAAGGAGCGACAAAGATACAACTCAAGGCATAGGCAAGGAGCGTCCACTCTCATCACGTATATGTCCCCACGAAGGGTACCAGGAATAGTGGACAGACGCTTGACATGGCCCCTATGAGACACAGTCCCTCTACTTGACCTCGTACCCGGATGGAGTACGGCCCAAGACACCGTTATGCTGGCAGAGCACAACGGAATAGCTAGCAAACATGCGTATCTAAATGCCGCTAGTGACGCGAGATTGGTTGGCATGTGTGCCATCACCCAACAAGAGCCCCAATGTTCAGCGGACGCACCCGCGCAAACATACGTGGCGCACTGTTGAAGTTCGACAGGCTCCTGCGAGTGAAGACAGCACCTCTTTGACTCATGTGCTTCACCAGCTGTTCACCGCGCTATTCACGACCTAGAGCCAATGTGGCTCGCGCAAGTAACGTCAGACCCCTGAAACAGGGACCGACAAAACTTACACCACCAGGAACATATGTTTGGACCGCCTACAACGGAGGACGCCATCTCTCCGCTTAGGAAGTGATAACAAGTATCCTTCCTGTTCCCGAGTAATAATCCGATCAGAGACCGCGAGGAGCTCACATGTAGAATCCGTGGTATTTGTGGAATGCGAGCAGGCCAGACCCAAGCTCGAAGGACAAAGTTAGCGACGTAGGATGTCCGAGCATACCCGGTGGGCCGTTTTGGGTGGTAGACTAAACAGAGGGGGACGATGTTGGTGTCGAGGATGCTGATGAAAGAGTGGAGGGGTCTAGAGGAAGGAAGGAGAGGTTGTAAAAACGAGTCCAAATCGTCAGATTCCAGCAGAGGGTAGTATGTACAGCGAATGTAAAAATCAGCGTCGCATGCCCCGCGCCGGGTGGTGTGCTCGGATCAGCGGCAGGCACTTGCCGAGCCCCGCCAGCCTGCTCTCCGGCCACCTTCCAGCTCGGGGACACGCTCGCGGTGACTGTTCGAGACGTGCCCCGACGAGCAATGCCGCTTTTCGAGCTACAGAATACTCGATCTCTTACCTGGTATGTTCCCAACACAGATACCCGATATATTCAAGTGCTTCCAGAGGTGGAACAGAGTTGGGCAATGGCCTCGGTGCGGTAGGGTTGGGGCTCGGCCGGGGAGTTCCGGTGATCCGAGCACACCACCCGGCGCGGGGCATGCGACGCTGATTTTTACATCCGCTGTAATACTCAGGGCACTCACGCCCAAGGTGCTGCGGTAGAGGCGATTTGACGCCCAAATATCCGAACCAATCTATGCCTTCATCTCGAATAGAATCGAGCAATCAGACCCGATATCGGCAGTCTAATTTAAACTCATGGCGGTTACGCCAGATCAATCATGACATGTTGGATTCAGTGCAAAGGGGGGTTCATAGCATAGTGGGTTGTACTGTAATCATCGGAGACATGCTGAAGTGGCAGTGGCCGCGGAGGAGCTACTCCTTCTCGTCTGCATCCCATTTCTTGTCGTTAAGATCCCAGTACGCACTTCGTCGACACGGACGAGCATCAAATATATGAGTACTTGAAGCAGTCAATCTGGATAAGAAGTGTGGCTCACGGGGGGAGGTCTAGGATCGGTGCATCATCGCTAGCTGCCACTGGGTCTTGAGCCAGAGACTTGACGATACCGGAGGAAACCGTCACAAGTACCACCAGCTTCAGGTCGTTGCCGATTCCTGGGAAGGGCACATTGACCACAAGCGAGTACTGCAACCCGACTACATCAGCGTACTGTGTGTTACGTTTGAAGGGATCGAATGGATGACCCACACTGCATTCTATGTTGTCTACCGCGAAAGAGCACGGACAATTCAGCCGGAATGTAGACTCGAATATCGCACGCTGAGTCCACGAGCCCTTCGTCCCGTCATCTCCCGACCTATCTTTCTCCTTCTCAGCGCCGAGCGACCCGCCGTGAAGCGGCACCCACTCCTTCTCGGGGAAGCTGGATTCAACGGGGGCTTGGGGCCGCCTCTCCTTCGTGCTGCCAAGGATGGTCGTGACACAATTTTTCTCCTTACCCTTGACACCGAGCGCACGTATAACCAACGATTGGTAAAGGCCGAACTTGATATCGTGCGGGTCGCGTGGCACGGGAGGAAAACTGGGTTGATCGCTGTTATGCTCCCTTGACTTTGCACGGGAGGAGGGTGCGGTGATGGTCGTAATGGTAATAGTATAAGGGATATCCGAGAAAAGAGGCAGGACTGGAATGTTCGGGATAGCGAGCTGGGTGGGGTGGCATGAGCGTCATCTTGTTGAAAGGTTCATATATTCGTGAACAACGGACGGACCTCGACGTGCACCGTGGAGTACTCTCCCCATAGTCCCCTACGGATCTTTTCTTCCTTTGTGAATGTCTTCCATCCAGTAGTGACGTATGCCTCCTTCATCAATGCACCACGGTCGTCCTTCGGTAGAACGGCGAGAGGAACTCGGTGACGCTTGTTGAAATGAAAAAGTCCCTTACGCACGCCAACCGCAGTCACCGAATATCGAACATCTGCGATATAATGGGCCAAACGAGGTCGATAACTGAAGGAGGGCGGTAGCTCATTGGGCAGGGTGAAACTGAAAGGTATGCGGAGGATATCAGAATCCGGGGTTGGATACGTGCCGCCTCGAGACCATATAGGCGCGTTCTCATGAACAAGCTTGATCGCCTCGTGCAGAACATTGTCATCCACAGTAATCCATCTACAAATTTGTTATGGAATTTCTCAGTATTCAGGACCTCATATATCCAGAAAAGTGTTGAACGTACGTCTCAGATGTTCCGCGGAGTTTGACTACAACCTCCTCGATGTCCTCCTCGTGTAATTGACGAACGTTGACCTCAACTTCACCCTCGATGGTGCTCCCCGCAACATACACAGCGGGCGGAATCGTGATGGCTAGACATGATGACGGGGCGGTTTTGAAAAGCATTGATCACCAGTGCGTGCGTGTACGGCGCCGTGGAGCCGGGGATGGTCGCGAGCTGCTTCAATATATGCATCAAGAGGGACGTAAGAGCTGCGCACAGGAAATGCTCTCACGCTCTACGAGGAGTCAGAGCAGTAGGCGACGAACTACGCAATGCATGCAGCAGAAGGGGTTCCTTGGCGAGACTTTTTCCGAGCACTGGTCGTTGCAATTGTGCGTCACGAGTACATATCGCCCTCAACCAAACACGTACAGTGGCCATGACTGCGGAGTGCAGAGCCGTCAGCGTGAAACGGTAGAAAGGAATTACATAACCTTGGCTTTGCAGACGATGTACTACATCGATTTCTGACGGCGCTAGATGCGCAGCGAACTCGGCACCGCCACTAGCCTTGTTTCAAGAGTCATCGCGCTGCGCTTCCACCGGAGTGTCGGACACATGACTCCAATCTTACAGCCAGAACCTACCATGTTGACAATCTCACAAGCTCTCAAAGAGCGCTGTGAAGCGTAGCTCAGCAGGAACCTATGCCTGCAAGTGGTAAGAGCAATAGGAGGTCAAGGATTCAGGTTGCAGCGACGTGACGACTCTGGCAAGACACTTCGAGACCAAATGTAGACATTGGTCCCCAATATGACACGCGAATTATCTTACGCCTGTACACCTATGACAGGGCTCAGCCAACTCTCGAAGTCGCCCTCCTTGGTCGGATCGCCCGTAACCTTCAGCGCACGGAGGAGAATGCGGTATGAGCCGTCGGGGATCGTAGTCCCATTCGCAAACGTAGGGGTCGTGAACGACAGTTCGTTGAAGCCCGTGCCGTCCTGCGAGCACCGACGGTGGTCAGCCAATCGGCCGTGAATCAGAAGGAATGCGTGACGGGAGACGTACGTTCACATCTGAGTTACGCGGTAGGAAGTCCCCCTCATAGAGAGAACCAAGCGTCTTCACGCTTGCGAAAGAGCCCGATCCTGGGCCCCAGGGGAAGCTGAATAGCGAGCGTTCGAACACGTGTGTCTCTGCGTCCTCTTCGCGCCTGTTCAACGTCGTTGAGATCTTGATGTTTGGGTCGACGAGGTCAAAGCGGAGCTTCGGCGTGCCGAAGTTGAGACGCGCGACGAGGGACGGGAAGTCGGTGCTGTTGAACGTGAAGTTCTGCGGGCCGGTGATGAAGTTGCCACTCGCGTCGGCAATGGCGGGGATCTTGGCTCCAAAGAAACTGTCGGTGTTGTCGATAACCTGCGCGTTCTTGAGGGCGGCCGCAAGACCCAGGTAGGTGACATGATAGCTTTCCTGTGCGTTAGAAATCTCCAAGAAGCCAGAGAACACGGGGAAGTCGGAGGCGTTCAAACCGGTGGGCGGCGTGATCAGGACCGTAACCCTCTGGGACTGGCCAGGATGAACTGTAAACGATGTGGGGACAAACTTGACATTTGCAGCCTTCGAGGAGAGTGGCACAGGTCCATCCGCCGGGACACCCTAGGATGCAGTTTGAGCAGATGTATCAGCGCAGGGTAGCACGCGAAATGGACGTACCCCTTGGAAGGTGAGAGCTGTTCCGGCAGGGACGTGTGAGATCTTGAAGGTTTTGGTGTCCTTGCCCTGGTTTTTGACAGTGAAAGTTTGACTACCTTGGCGTGAGCACTCTCCAATGTTGGACGAAGAGCAAGCACCGCACTCACACGCCGCGGAAGTGAGCGGTATCGTTAGTGATCAGTTCTGAGGGCGAAACCAGAACGTCCGCATGGATAGCCCTGAACGCGTCGATCAAGCCTGCACCCTGTTGGGTCAGAGTCTGGAGCGGGTCGCCATCCGTCTTGCTCGACGGCACACGCTGTGCTGTGGTCTCGAAGAGCGTGCGGGCGATACGGCCGACTGCGGGCGAGGTGCCACGCGCTTCGAACAGCAGCGCAGACACCCCAGCCACGAACGGCGTGGCCATCGACGTCCCGGAGAGGACGGCGAATGTGCCTAGGGGGACAGGGTACGTGGAAAGGATGTTGCCACCGGGAGCGGCGACGGCAGGCTTGAAGTAGAAATCGTTCGTGGGGCCATAGGTGGTGAACGTCGAGACGAGGCCACCAGTCGAGGAGGGGAAATTGGTACTTGCACCCGATTGGGGGAAGGAGACGGCGACAGGCGCCCCTGCTGCCAATTGCTGAGCGAGCTGTGGCACCAAAAGTTGTCAGGATAGAACCTCGTTGTTTGTTGCAAACTCGAGGGGGACGTACGAATACTCCATCGGCCGCCTGGATGAGGACAGCGGTGAAGTTGCCAACCTCAATGCCAGCGAAGCCATTGCCGTTGCTGAGAGTGGATCAAGTCAATTGGATATGCGTCTATTGGGAGGGCAGGCTTCGCTACGTACTCGTAGATGAGGGTGACATTCCCACCCTTAGCCGCAACATTGGTCAACTTTTGTACCTGAACATGGTGGTCAGCAACAAGTTGCAGCTCATGAGACTGTGCCCGGAACTCACAAAGGTGCAAGAGCCACGGCGGACAAGGACAACGTATTTAGACAGGTCGGGAGTGCTGTCAGGAAGGGGGTTGCACGCGTCATCAGCGACGGTAACATCCGTGCTGGTCGCGTAGATTGGGAGGGTGCCTTCGACAGGGAGAGGAAGCGCACTGAAGTAAGTGATTGGATCATGGGTGACGCCATGTACGGTGAGATTCTGAAGAGGAATGATCGTGTTGTCGACAGATGCGACAGAAATTGCATCTATCCCGTTTCCGGGGCCAGAAGTGTACCACGAGCCAACAGAACCGTCATTGCCTATCGTTTTTCGTGGGTCAGCGTCATACCGAGAGTAGCGAAGGAGGGAGTGGTGGACCCGAGACATACCAGCTGCGATGGTCACGATCCGCCCGGAATCCGAAATCCTGCTAGCAACAACTGAAGCCGTGCCCTCGGTCCAGCCATCAGTCCCACCAAGCGACAATGTGAGGATGTTGTTGCCGTCCTTGGCGCCTTGGAGGAGCGCCTCGACGATGACTGTCAGGAGACAGATGCGAAACGAGGCCGATCAGTACAGCGCTCTACTTGGAGAGATGTCCCATATGGGACACTCACTGTCATCGGAGACGGAACCCGAGCATCCAAAGATCCTGTAGGCATTGATCGACGCGTCGAACGCGACACCGCTGATGTTGAACGGGTTGACCGGTTCCGCGCCAATGATACCCTATGGCGCATATAGCCGCGTTGAGAGCCTCGTACCGTGATATCTGTGCTGAAGTGAAGCTTACCGCAACATGACTTCCGTGCCCGTTACACTGATCGAGAGGGTCGGAGTCAGGAACCGGCGTGTTCGTACCTGCATCGTATTGTGAGCAACGCTACTGGCTTGTTTCGGATTATTTGTATTACCGTCTGCAAAGGTTGTCAATACTAAGATCTCAATGACACAGTGCTGATTGGACTGACCATATGCATCTCCGACAAAGTCGTAGCCACCAATGACCTTATGGCCGGGACCAAAGGCTCCGCCGAGGTAAGGGTTGGTGTAGTCGACGCCCGTGTCAATGCTGCAGAGAATTCAGCGTGCTGGGTGACATATTGGACAGACCGTACGCACATTCCGATCTTGATACCCTTTCCGGAGATGCCCTGGGCGTGTAGCTTGTCGACACCCTATCCGACGTGACACAAGCATGTGAGCTCTATGCTTGGCAAACAAAGTAGGAGGGATACCGACGGTGATAACGTGGGTAGACTCGCCATCAGCGGGGACCTGGGGATCGTCGGGACCAGTAACAACGTGGACCTTCACAGGCCTACGTATGTCCGTCAGCGCCTATGTGGAAAGAAGACAAGGAGCCAAATAAACTTGCTTGGGAGGAGGCACGAGGACGACCGGGCGGATAGCCTTCACCCCGGGAATGGCGAGTACCTTCGAGGCATCCTATGGGGTTCATGCTACACTCAGTCTAAGGCCCCTTGCGATTCTTGACTTGATGAACGTACTTGCGCACTCTGTATGTGAATGGCGGATTGTTTTGTTCAGTGCGATCAGGAAGTGCGGTATGTCGTACTTACGTCAAGCGTCAATACAGAACCTGTGAATAGTCCAGGAGAGTCGAATTCCTTCTCCACCTTGAAGCCGAGACTTCTCTTCTCGAGGTGCTCGTAGAAGATATCGTGAGACTGCACTCGCTCTCCTACGTAAGCTTGGCATCAATGGTCATCATGATGCCCGAGACGCACTCTACGGTTGTCGAGCTCCCGCTTGGTAGGGATGTCCTGAGCGGCATCGACCTCGACGATGAACTTGTTAGGGATCGTGTTACCGAAAGTCGTCTTCCGGGTGAGATCGGAAGGGGAGAACTTGGCGCCCAGAGCGACGCTGGTGACAGCGAGGAGGGGAAGAACGAGTGAGACCATGCCGGGTGCCATATCGAGAGCAACCACAGACAATATGAAGAGGCGTTGCGCCGCAGCGGCGTCGAGAAAAGAAAGTGATACTCGTCATTGCTCGAGGACCACTTTTATATTCGCCAAGACTCGTTCCCCGTTGTGATCATCCTAAGCATCTGTTCCGACGGAAGTGTCTCCTGAACGTTAATGCGTTCCAGAAAAACGCATCACGATACTAGGATACCGTCCTGGAGCACATGGGCGTGAGAGGCACGCCGCTATCAGCGAGATGGGAGACTCACGAGTACGGGGTTCCTGGTTCATGATTCCGACCGTGATACGTCGTGTGAGCAGATGGCAGTAAGTAGAAGGCGTCGTCCTTGGCGGATCACGCCTGCGTCGCAATACTGTCGCGCTCCCGAGCAATCTGTCCTCCGTCAGTGGCTTGTCCTCACGAGTCACCGGCACAGGGCGGTTGATACTGATTGCGCCCGCAAGAATGACGTGGGATCTGAAGAATGTCGGGCGTTGTAAGGGCCCGCGCCATCAAGGATGATCGTCTCGCTCTGTCAAGACCCAAGACTGGTTGCAAGCCGGTGGGATGCGGTCGCCGGTAGAACTGAACTTGACTCAAGTCCCGACCAGGCGGCTTGCTTTTGCATCCCTGCTACTGGTGGGCGCCTTCCGCGCCCCCATCTCCCAACCGACTCGGGAACATCGTATACCGACGCTCCACCTGCTGAGGACTATCTTACAGTAGTGCAGTACCGTTAAGGAATATACGTCAGGAAGGGGACACTTTCAGCCTATAGATATTTGGCTGTGATTAGAATGTCCGATGCACGAAGCAAAACGCCTAGCGGCACATGGCAATCCAATACCCATAGCTTGGACCCATATTCCACTGGGTCGTGCATCATCATCTTGTTGTCTCTTGTTGTATGAAGTGTGAGGCATACACTCTGTGTGAACATCTGTATCGGCATCCATTCTCCGTCCCCAGTTCATCTAACCGAGGGCGCCCACAGTCAAAGAACATCTTCGATGGGAGATCCTCCGATGGCCCCCACCTTCTGATGTGGGCATATGGAGGAAGTTGCGGTTAATGCATGGACGAACCCGACCTTTGCCAGGTGGTCTTCCTCGCAGCTACGGTCGTCGCCTTATAGTATGGATTTGAGGGTGGTGCAGCAGACAGCTGATGACGACGAAGCCCCGTCACGGCACCAGATCTGGTCTTCTGCGATTCTTCACTTGAGTCCAGTATATAACCTGTCGGGTCGATCCATTTCTACTTTCCAATGCTCCGCTTCGCTCTCAAGCCATCGCCCACTCTCAAGCTCGTCGCTCGCCCAAACGCAAACCGCCTCGCGCTACACATTCGCACGACCTCCAGAGCTTCTTTCGTGACCATGGCGCAGTGGAAGCCGAACACCGAGCCCCCGGAGACGGTCTGCGTCATCAAGAACATTGCGAAGCTCACGTCCGAGAGCGACAAGTTCCGGCGCGTCATGTGGACCGGGCGCAACAGCCAGCTCGTCATCATGACAGTCCCTATTGGTGGGGAGATCGGGGAGGTGAGTGTACGAGGTGACCTGGGTGAATGTATGCGCTGACCGGTCGGTGTAGGAACGGCACACCGTCGACCAACACCTCAACTTCCTGTCCGGGACGGGCGTTGCCGTCATTGACGGAAAGCGTGTAAGTTTGACGCACATATAGAAGGCACAGGCGTGCTGAGGTACGCATATAGGAGGAACCCGTCAGCCCTGGCGACGTGGTGATTGTCCCTGCTGGCGCATTGCACAACGTAAGTTCATGCTGTGCCTTGGCACATGCGCATACACTCACTCCACATCGCGCCCATAGTTCAAGAACACTGGTCCGACCCCGCTCATTCTCTCGACTGTGAGTATCTTCGTCCCGTTATCGCGCCAGGGCAATTCCTCACAGTCCCTCCAAAGGTGTACGCGCCTGCAGAGCACAAGGCGGACACCGTTCACGACACTCTGGAGCAAGGTGAGAGACTCGAGGAAGAGGGGAAGGACGAGCCTCCCTCATGGGCAAAGGATCTGCACAAGAAGCCGTAGGCATCATCATTGCCAGAATCAGTCCCGGAAGACACGAGATGAACGCATTATTTCGCCTATCATACAACATTGGCATGCAGAATGTCATCAGTCACGCCAGACTCACGGGACTATGCTTCCGTCGTAGATGTCGTTGTAGTTTCCGGAGGACCCTGCACCTTCAATCCAGCTTCCTCCAACAGCCTCTGTAGTCGGTGCTCATTATGCAGCTTGGTAATGTCATCCGAGCCTCCTAGCGAGCTCCCCTGCAGTACAGGTTGGTTACGGTCAGATATCGCACCCAGATGATAAGACAATGGAAGTGTTCACCTTTAGGATGATGTTCGGGACTGTCCTTCGCCCGGTCAGCCTAGCAAGGATAGCCTGGACTTGGGGACCATCCGAGCGAACATTCAACTCGACCACTTTGGGAGGCGGTGTGATGCCGTAAGAGTTCAGGAGCGCCTTGGCTTTTTGCGAATACCTGGCAGGAGGCCGTGTCAAACAGCTAAAGAGATGACTCGAAGCAGGGATACGTACGGGCAGTACGTCTTACTAAAAACCACCAGCGGATACTGCTCCTTCAGCCTTTTCAAGTGGTCTTCCCACTCGTAGTCCCCATCTGGCGAGTACACGCGCAGATCTACGGGCTCGTCCGCATTGACCTGGACGCTCCCCAGCCCCTTCACGCGAATGGAACCGCCGTCCTCGTCCAGCTTGCGTTCTGAGTGGGCGGTGACGAAGTGCAGGAGCGCGTCGATCTCGTGCACCTCGGCGTCGGCTTTCGCTTGTGCAATGACACCCGCGCGTGAGGAGTCGGGTGAATATCCTAAGTCTTTGAGAGACTCACGGAGCGAGAGGAAGGAGGGCGTGCCGTGCTGCGCGAGGTAGTAGACGGACGCGACAAGGAGGAGCAAGAGCATCCAGAGGATGCGGCGGCGGCGGTAGGGCGAGCCAGACCAGGGGCGTGAGGTCGGTGGGTTCATGTTGCGTTCCTGTAAGTTTCAGGTCTCAGCAATAGCGGTCTGTGACGAGGGATGGCGTTGGGTTGGAGCTATCTGGGACGATGAATGAGAGTCAGAGTCGAAGAGGGCGGTGTGTGACTCAGGGCCGCGACGAGAGCAGCGTCAATCTGGTGCTAGACAGATGCCGCAGGACGTCTGGGAATCCTGGGGTCGAGACGGACGTAAGGAAGACGCAGGCGGGGGCGTGGAGCCCGCGGTCATTGCATGCGTGAGGCGGTGGCTTGGTTTAAAAGTGGGACACACGGTCCGACGACTACGGGGATGGCGGGCTTCCTTTTCGAGCGGTAGCGTCACGTGTATACCGGGCGTCCTCAAAGTACCAGCAGGCTAACGCCCATAGCGGTACATCCTGCTCCCTCTATCGAACACTGTAAGCGGCCCCGAAACCATTTCAAGCGTATTCCTGCAAAGTTTGACCAAAATCTGCGCGATGGTCCATGAGATACAGCAAGCGGCGAGTTTAGCAGCATATAAGCGCCCATCCAGCGCGCCGCAGAACAGAACGCCTAGAGTAGCACTGTAGCAGGACTGCTTCTTCTAGTGACTGCCGGCGACAGACTGTCTCCCTCTCGCTACGGTTGGTATCTTTGCTGACGTGTTTCATGGCCTCTCTCAAAAGTCCGGATGCGCTGCGGTTACGGGATCCCTTCGAGTTGGATAGGCTCGCCGAGGAACTCGAAGCCCGAGAGTCCTCCGCCCCTCGCAAGAAAGCCAACAAACCTGACGACGACGAACTTCCGGAGGGGGCACACGACCTCCCCGTATACGCCCCGCTTTCTCACGACAACAAGTATTTGTCCGCAGAGACGTTCGACGTCGAGCAGTTCCTGCTCTCGCGCGCGTACACCTCGCTCCCGGACTTACGCACGGAACTGCGAGATTACCACGCTGCCCTCAAGGAGGAGCTCGTCAAGCTGATCAACGATGACTACGAGGCGTTCATCAGTCTCAGCACGGACTTGCGGGGAGAGGGAGCGAGGTTAGAGAGCATGAAGCGGCCTCTGGCGGACTTGAAGGCGGGGGTGCTCGTACGTCGTACACAATTCGTCATAGGCTATAGTGAATTGATGAAGTACATGGCCGTACACGCGTAGGAGGCAAGAAAGACGCTGCAGGTTGTCCAGGACGACATCAAGGATAAGCTGGACAAGCGTGCGGTCATCCGAGAACAGCAGGCGTTTCTTCAGTTGCTCCTGAAGATCTCGGAGTCCATTACACGGCTGGAGTCTCTGTTGTTGATCACATCACCGGATGATGCGGAGAAGGGTGATTCTGGCGTTGGGCAGGTGCAGCCGTTGCCTCGCACGGAGACCGAGGCGGAGGACAGGTGAGTGTATGCGCTAAAAACATGTCGAAAACGTCATAAATAACATACTTCAAAAGGACACGAGGAAACCGTGCAAAGCACATAGCACGCGTAGCAGCTGAGTATACGCAACTACTCTATCACGTCGAGCGAGCGAGCACGCAGCCCTGTGCATTCATCGACGAACACCAATGGGTTTGTGGGCCTTTCAGACACAGTCACGCCCCGTGCTGAATCTGCCGCGTGTGCAGCGCGTCGAGCGCATCAAATCCACGCTATCCTCTGACCTCGACCACTTGTTGGCAACGGCGCTGAACTCGCTCGTCGGCGGCCATGGCAAGCCGAGCAAACCGACAGATATCGAGAAGTCGAAGCTGTACGCGGACGTGACGGAGTGTCTGCGCACGTACGACATGCTTGGACTCTGGCGAGACGCAGAGGACGTGCTCCGGCGAGAGGTCGTCCGGGACTTCGTCAAGAAGGTATGTTCCATGATTATACGGCATGGCGAACTCGTCGTGACGTTCTACGCAGACAATATACCCCGGTGCGCTTGCAGCCCCTCGCTCGCCCATCGTTCCGCATACCCCACTGCCCACCCGAACAGGTGCTGCGTCCCCCGCACCACCCATGACCGCGTCCCTCCCGCCGCGCACCCCCTACACCCCCTTCACCGCGTTCGCGTCCAAACAGAACCCATTCGAGTTCGCGCTCCGCGCAGACGCGCACTCCTCCTCCCCGACCGCGAACCTGGCGCACATCCTCGACGAGACGGACGACCCGCTCGCGGCGCTCTACAACGCCATCCTCCGCTTCGTCGACAGGGACATGCGGCGGATCATGGAGATCGCGGAGGCGGTGTGCGTCAAGTCTGGCTCGCGCGCCGTGGCAGATCAGGGCGCGAAGAGAGGTGGGGAGGAGCCCGGGTTCGAGATCATGGCGAACGTCGTGTGGTCCGAGATCGGGCGTGCGTTGATGGACGAGCTGGGGAGCGTGATCTTCGCTGCGGGCAAGCCGGACGAGTTCCGGAAGGTGAGCGCGGCCAGTTGGTGTGAACGCGCTACGGAAACTGAGCGCGAGGTTGGCTGCAGCACCACGAGACGACGCAGGCGTTCATCCGCGCGCTCGAGTTCCTGGCACCGTCGGTGCAGTCGGTGGAGGCGATGCGGACGCACATCGTGTTCACGTCCTTTGAGCGGCGGTGGCAGCTCCCCGTGTACTTTCAGCTGCGGTGGAAGGAGATCGTCACGAAGCTCGAGGAGTCGCTCGCGACGACGAAACTTGAACGGAACAAAGGTGCGTATGTACTGTCGTAGGCCACGCCGGGAAGCGCAAGCCGAGCGTATTGTACAGCCCTTGCGCCATTCGCCACACCACAGGCGGCGGCGATTTGCAATGCTATCCGGGCATGCTGGAGCGCGGAGGTGTATATCCCGCAACTCAGCTCGAGGTTTTGGCGGCTCACGCTCCAGGTGCGGTTGGTTCCGTGTCAACGACGCCTGTACTCAATATGCATGGTCTGCAGATCCTGAGTAGGTACCGGACATGGCTGGACAAGAGTCTACCGCCCCCCGAGCCCACTGCCAAGGTCGCGGCTGCTGTTGCACTAGAGCGAATAGGAACTGTAAGCCGCGTTCGTTCGTACCTACTGAAAGCGACTTCTGACAAGCCCACTAGTCCGCGTCCTCGCCGACAACACGTTCTTCCACGCCGATACCGACCGAGGGCGCGTCCGCCGAGAGCATTGCTGCAGACGATGCCCTATTGCAGCAATTCGCCACGGCGATCACGGACATCAAGGCACTGGAGGTGGACGTCATGAAGCTCTGGATAGAGCAGCTGAACACTATGCTGCCCGACTCGACGCTGGCCGAAGACGAGCAGGAGGCCACTCCGGAGGGTACGTTCGTCGTGCGCTCGCTTCTCGCTATCGTTCTAACCCGCCACTCACGCCTGTGCAGAGGCGCTGGAGCAAGCCCTGTCTAAGCTCACGTCCCTCGTCCCGACCCTTACGAGCCAGATCGTCCTCATCCTCTCCCGCCGCGGCTGCGACGCGCTCCTGCCCATGCGCTCCATCCCGTCCCAGTTCCGCGCATCAGCCAAGAAGACGCCTACCGAGCCGAGCTACTTCGTCTCGCTCATCTTCAAGCACACCAAGGCGTTTTTCGGTATACAGACTGTCGACGGCCCCGGGGCGGCGCTCAAGGACGTGCTGCTTAAGCCGGTCGCAGAGGATGTGTTCGAGCTCGTTGCGCAGCGGTACATGTACTGGCTGTCAGCGATGAAGAAGACGGAGGAGGGGCTGCGGAAGCTGAAGCGGGGCAAGAAGTCGTACTCACTCTTCGGGAAGACAGACGATGACGGAAAGGCGGATGAGGATAAAATCCGTACGCAGATGATCCTCGACGTTGACGCGTTCGGGAGGGAGGCCGAGTCGCTGGGTGTCACAATACAGGAGAACGTGACGTATAGAAGTCTTGCTGAGATGGCTCGCTCATCCGTGACCGAGGGTGAGTGCTTTCCTATCGATGCTTGCCAGAAATGCCGGCTTATATCTCTCATGGAAGACACTTAACCTCGCCCTTGCTCTCACAATAACCCATTCACCATGGTCCTCAAATCCTGTGATTACATATATGATGGACAGTATGCTGCTTAATGTACATTGACGGTAGTATTAGCATGGAAATCAAGCGGTAAGCATCTAGTATGGTATATGGCCCCTGTCCGTGATACAACGACCGGCTCGCTCGCAGGCCCTGCAGCCTCCCCTTGCCCCTGGCTGTCCACAGGTTTTTTGGTGACAAACGCCACCCCACACGAGTTGCAGGCGCCTCGCGCAGGGGCCCAACCCTTGGTCCGCTCCCCGACGAGCTCTGCTATCGTGTCGGCGACGTCCCGGTCGACGAGGTGCTTCGTGATGACAAGCATGTCGCCCTCTGAGCGGAACGACTCGAGCATACCGGTTAGGATTGTGCGGAATTCGGTATAGAGTGTGCCCTTCGAGACGTTTCCGGTTGATGAAGATGCAGAACTGACCAACCGCTTGAAAAGGCGCGGGAAGGAGACGGCGCGTGTCGAGCTGACCGACATGAGCGACGAGAAAGTCTTGTGGACAAGAGAACGCAGAGCAGAGATCGTGCCATGCTCGCGCTGCACGCGAGGATCGTCTGATGGGACGCCCTCTGAAGGGGCCAGGGCCTCGAGCGAACAGCAGCTTGCTACCCGCTGCACACAGTCAATCTGGCTGCTGAGGAGCTGGAACCAGAGATCCTCTAGCGGGAGCTCTGCGGAGGCGGCCACCTGGGAGCGCTCCAGGCATATTGATATAGAAGTCCCAGCGATGGATTCCAACTTGTGCAACGCTTCCGAAATCAGGTCCTGGGAGTTATCATCGTTGGTGGCGAGGGCGTCTGCTATTCGAGCAGAGAGACGTCGATCGAACGAATCTGCCTTGGAGAGGGCAGCTCGTGGATCACCTCCTCGGTCGATGAGCCATATAACAGCGTCGAACACCTCGTGCTCTTCGCATATCCGAATGGTCTCCGACTGGTCGAGGTAATCTTTGGGGAGGTATCGGAGAGCAGCGATTATGCCAGACGGCTCAAAGCGACAATGCAATGATACGAAAGCAAGACGTAACGGCAAAGGGAGATCCGGTGGACGAGAGGAAGGTTTGCGAGGGAGGAAGACATGTTCCTCTTCGTGTGGCTGAGGAGGTTGCAGGAGATGCTGAAGGTAAATAAAGCGCTCTTGATCAGAATCAGACCCCAAGTCGTCGAGAGCCACTTCATGAACGGCTGGAAGGTGCGCGTCGATGAGAGCTGCGGTGCTTGAGATGTCGACGTCAAGGAGCGCAGGGAGGGAATGTTGCAGGGTTTCGGCAAGATTCTCGGACAGCTTGCCTTTGTTCGACCTCTTCGCAACCACGAGAACGTCATCGATCGAAGTAAACACGTCAGAACGAGGTAGGTCTGGATCCTCGAGGTATGTCGCAATGAGCTCCGACCATCGCTTCTCCTGCCGATACCAAGACCGCAGTATCCTGTAGAAACCCGCCTGCTTGAACAACTCCAATATCCGCTCGCTCTCGTGCGGAGTGTACGCAGACAGCAAGAACTCCGCAGCTAGTTGTCGGTCTTCGCGCGTACTCGTGTCGGGGTCCTCCGCAAGTCCGATCAGAATGTTGTGCAGAGCGCTGGGTTGTATCTGAATGAACTGTGGGTATTTGGGTACGTTCCTTGCAATAAAGATGTGTACGAATGTCCGTTCCTCGGGAGAGAGATTCGGGGAGGCGAGGATCTCGAGAAGGATCTTGACGATGACGAGACGGCTGACGCCGCGTGTGTCGTCGTTGAGATACGCGTCTTCGAAGGCCAAATCCAGAGTATGCAGGAACGCTTCTGGGTCGAAGCGCAGTAGGAGGCGGGTATAGGGATATGTTGGCTCCACGCCGTTTTCCTCATCAGATGTCAGGACAAGTTTCCCGCCTTCGCCCTCCGGCCAGACGCTGGAGCGCCCGAAAAAGAGGAAGGTGTAGACGGCGTTCTTGGCCTCAAAAGCTTCATCCTCTGGAAGCGGCTCCTCGGATGGATACGTGAGTCCAGTCAGAGTGTCCGCGATGAAAGGGTAGATCTTGTAGGCGTTTAAGATGATAGGTTCCAACGCTTTCTCGTCCAGGAAGCCCGAGGAGGTTGGTGATCCCTCTGCGCGCTGCCTCCGGTACTGCTGCACCCTGCGAACCAAACCCAGAAGCTCGACTACAGGAGCAACGTAGTCTCGCAGTGCCCTTGTGTAGACATAGATAAGCGCATCGTACAGACGATACTGCTGGCACAGGGTGATTGCCTGGTTGCTGTCGAGACATTCCGGGTCAATGTGCCAAATCAGTCGCTCCACGAGGTCGGGACGATTTGCCTCCGCGTGTAATGCCACAAGCCGCTGCGTTATCCAAGGTGGCACATGCCGAATGTCGCCATCTAGCATGAAAGGCTCCAGCTGCGACAGGAATATCCCCGCAATGCCGTTGTTGTCGTAATACTGGAACAAGTCCTCAAAGAAGAACTCGTAGTCGTCCAGAGCTCTGCACGCCCGAGCGCAGGTCGAGACGAGGCCCTCAAAGAGCTCTGTTCGATCCACGCCGCGTCCGTCGGGAGTGACATGCGTACCGTCCGTCAGACGCTCTTCGGAAAAAGCGTATCTCGCGGAAGCAACCATGAGGTCGCGGAGTTTCTGGCCAACGACCGCTCTGAGCTTCTCGGGATCATCGGGGAGACCGTTCCTGTTTCCAGGTGCGTCGCCGACGTAGTATGAGCGCGTCAGATCGATTGCACTTAGAAAATCGCCTTCCTCAACGAAGTGAAGGATACGGTCTGCCCAGGTGAGAAGTGTTCCGACTTGCACTCCATGTTGTCCCTGCCCGAGTGGTCAGTGAGTTCAATTAATCAGTTAATCAGTATGAGAAGAACTTACCAGGAGGAAGATCTTGCCCTTGTATACACGTACACTGTGCGCGACCTCTGACACTGCGTCAGAGTACGTGATGGCACCATTGGTGGTATGGCTGAGAACGGGGGAGACCAATGACCATGCGTCATACGGTTCACGTTCGACAAGCTTGCACGTGCGAACGTCGTAGATCTCGAAGCCGGCATGGGTCAGCACAATAATTTGCTGCAGAATATAATCGTGGGAGTCAATCATCTGTCTGGGGCACAAGTGACCGGAGTGAACGAACCCACATTGACGTTCAGCCATTGCAGAGCAAGGATGTCGTCGCTGGCCATCCAACTTCCGGCCTCCTCGAAGACAATGCGGCCTACCTCGACCTTGTTGATTTTGCCTGATTTCGGATCCTTCACCGTTTGGATCACCTTCGACTCGGACACCCGGAGGAGATGCAGGTGCTCGCCCCAGGAGTACACAAGCGTCGGCGTCGACGTCGGGTGCACCCCGTTCGCTTGGCTCTTCTTGTTGTTCCGCTCGGGGGCCGAGGCAAGGTCTGCGCCAAGCGAAACGCTGGGGAACCACGCGAGGCATCCCTTGAACCTGGACTTGGCGCTGACCTCGTCTTCGGATTCGCGGTGACGCCTATACCACGTCTTGGGCGAAGGCTTCAGACCCACGATGACCAACTTGATCGGCGTGAGAAGGGCAATAAGGTTGTACGCGTCCGTGGGATGCGACGCCGTCCCAAGCGGGAGCGGGGCCATGGACAGGATCGTGGCAGGCTTCCGAGACCTCCGCCGCCGGAACCTGTGACCGAGCGTTGCAGGTGCATCAGGCACGTCTTCGTCAGGATACTTCCCAAGGATGCGAAGAATATCTGTAGCGTCTACGAAGAGAACCTTCCCCAGACTGTGGTAGAATGCTAGACCGCTGTCATCTGCTGAGACGAGCGCGGTGTGCCGGCCGGCAATGAATCCAATACTGACGATTCGGGAACCGACCAAATGGCCCTCCTGCCTGCCGGACGCGACAGCTGCGAGAGTAGTCGGAGGGACGACGCGTGCCGGCACTTTCGGTGAGCGCAGATCATACAGCTGTATGTGGCCTGTGGCATGCCCGGCTGCGATATACGTGTGATCGAACGAGAGCGCGAGCGCAGTGACGGCACCGACATTCTTCTCTACCATTTCAGGCGTCAGAATCACGGATAGTTCGTGCAAGTATAGCCTCGCTCACCTGACGACTCGTTCCCACATACACACTTCAGAGTCTGCTTGAAGTCGAATACAAGCACCCGGCCCATGTCTGTGCCTATGCAAATCAGCCCGTTTGCGGCAAGGACCGTCGGCGAGCCGGAGGACTGGGCGCCCAAGAACGCGGAAACCTTTGGACCCTGCGCTGCATATATGTGCTCTCCTATGACGCGTAGCTGCGTCCACCGTAGGACTTCGCGCGGCGGCCGCGTCTGTGCTGCAGGAGAGCCTTCTTGGTGTGCAAACTGGGTCGATAGGTTGGTGACCGATGATGATCGAGAGAGCGCGGAGAAGTGAGATGGCGCAGCAGATGTCGACTCGTGCAAGTGCGAATGGAGGGTGGCGCCGCTCGCTGCGGACGACGTACGAGAAGGCTGAGGGGTGATAGAGCGCAAGCGTGAGATAGAGGGGTGCAAGTACGGCCGCGAGGAGGGCAGACGAGGCGGGATCCCATTTCCAAGCTGGCTCGGCATCCTGGCTGGCGTAGAGGACGGCAAGGGTGTCTTGGGAGAGATAGGTGGAGGCGAGCGAGGGGTCAGATTCTGGACATGCTACAGCCAACCTGAGGATTAGCAGGCGGAACCGGCGAGGCATGTACGCGGAGTAACTCACTCCTGCCTCGTCCTCAATCGTCGCCGCGAACTTTTCGTTCTCTGCCACTTCGTGAACAAGCGACCGCTCGACCTCCTTCTCCTCCTCAAATTCGTCCTCTTCGTGGTCCGGCCCGAGCACGTCGCGCAGCTGCTCGCGGTATCCGCCAGTGGGATCAGAGTCGACGCCGTTGTAAACAAACCCTCCCTCGTCTGCGTCCTCGTCCTCGTCGGCTCCGTGACCCACGTCGTCCTCGCCGTCGCTCATGAGCTCCTCGAGGCGTGCAGAGTAGTCGCCGAGACCTGGGTCGGGCGAGTCGTCGCCCTCATTGTCGGAGAAGCTGAAGTCGCCATCGCGAGCGACATCAGCGGCGCTATGTGACCCATTCATGAACAACACGAGAGCGTGGTGGGCGAGAGCGCAAGGCGAGGAGGGGAGGCTGTGGCCAGTGTCGGTGACGAGGAGGAGAGGCCCGGAAATGCCGCTGAGCGTGTGCGCCTCGATGGATATGCCCGATTCTGGACTTATCGGGCAGAAACTGCGAAGTAAACAGAGGACGGGGAAATGGGGGGCATTGTCTGTATCTCTGCTTTCGACCCTCCTCCGCACTTTCTCACTTCCCCATCGCATCGCCCAACCTCAGCAATGGCCAACGTGGCCACCATGGGCCCCCCACCATCTCCGAAGGAACCTCGACGCTCCGGACGTCGTCCTGCACCATCCTCCAGCAAGTCCCCTGCCGGCTCGCCACCGTCGGAGGCCAACCCCGCCGCCACTAAGCCCAAGGACGCCCCTGGCCGTCCCTCGTCAAATTCCTCACACAGCAACGGTTCCGTCCGGAACAAACGCGCGAAAAACGAAGATCTCGACGAGCCTCTCGAAGAGCTACACAAGAACGGTGTCAACACCAACGGGGGGTCGCTGCGCTCCAAGCGCAAGGGCAAGGACAAGGAGAAGATTGCCCTTGTCGTGGAGATCCCCAACAACGACAACGACGGCGGCCTCGAGGCCGTCGCCGACGACGGTGCGGAGGAGAACGGGGAGGACGAGGAAGAGGGGGGAGTCACGCGTTGTATCTGCCAGAAATACGGTGTGTCCCGTCGCGTCGATCGCCCCGAAACGTATTGCCAATCCTCCCTGTCAGGTGAGGAGGAGAACGAACAGGGAGAGTTCATGGTCCAATGCGAGATATGCAAGGCCTGGCAGCATGGACAATGTATGCACTACGCAGCCGCTGACCTCGTGCCGAATCACTACTTCTGCGAGGAGTGCCGACCAGAGCTGTGGGTCGAAGTCGTAAAGTACATCTCGCCTGGCCCTCTACCCTCATCCACCCCTTCTTACGATGAGACGCAGGGACTGGGCCGTCAAGCATGCTCGACAATCCTCATCGCACTCTTACCCTCCCACTACGCCTCTTGTCGCCAACGCGCCCCGAAACTCTCGCTCCCACTCGCCGGCCGTACACAAGACCACTAAACGGCGGAACACGATGAACAGCCGCGATGCCGCCTACGATGAAGAGACGCTCCAAGCGCTCATCGACCTTCCCAAGACCGAATACGATCTACCACCTCGTACGCCGATATCGGCGGTGAGCGCGAACGGAGGCCTGAATGGCCACGCAGAGCCGGAGCACGAGATCGAGATGCAGGTCAACCACAAGAAGAAGCGGAAGAGGAGTGATGACGACGCGTGAGTGTTTATCTGCCTACGCGCATAATACTGCGTTGCCAACGACCGCATTCCGGACCTAGCGCCTCTGTCAAAAGAACGCGATCTGCGTCGGTTACCTCTGATAGACCCCCGCCGTCTGTGCTCGCACGCGACGCGACGCCGCTCAGCGTGAGCAAGGGCCCCGCTGGACCTTCGTCAGGCGCACCAGCGCCGCGCGCGCCGAATGGACGCAACAAGCGGGCAGGTGGGCGGAAGGGGCAGGGGCAGGACGTCGCGTCCGTCGACGGCGAAGAAGGTCAGTGCACGAATCTCGCCGCGTGTGACGTCAACTCACGTGACCCGTAGTAGCAAGCGCTGCGCCGACACGCAAAGCCAGCAGCCGCGCCAAAGGTGCGTTCCCGTCTTATCCTCGGCTATACCACTCACTCACGGATACCCTTGTACCATCTTCATGCCCTACATATACCCTCATCCAGCCAACAACAGCTCCGAGCACACCACCAGGCGAGCACAAGCCAACGCTAGCGGCGCCGCGGCCGGTAACTCCGCCGCCTCGCGCGCGTACCACCACTCCCATGCATACGCTGTCTCCCAGCAACCGCTGTTCACGTCGTGGAACCTGCCAGACTATCTCGCTCACCTCGAGCCTATGCTTCCTACCGACGTTCCTCGTCCATTAGAAGTCCGTGGTTCCGTGCTCGACGGCAATGGTCGCGAGTCGCAGGACCGGACCGCCGAACGGGGCGTGAAGGTCAAATGGCCCAGCAAGCGTATGAGCGTTGGTGATATGAACAAGCGTGTTCGATCGCTCGTAGAGTGGGTAGGGCGCGAGCAGGCGGCGGCGATGGAGCGGACGCGACGGAAAGAGGCGCTGGAGAAGGCATTGCAGGCGCACCAGAGGGCTGCTGCCGGTGACATGGACGTCGACGCCAGCATAGCCGACGGCGCTCCTGCACCGGAGAATGGGCTGTCGACGGCGAACTCTGCACCTCCTCCGCTCGCGGAGGTGATGACAGGAGGAGGCGGCGAGGACACTACCATGAGAATGATGGAGGAGCTCATGGAGGAGCTGATCCGGTTCCAGGAACGGTTTGGGCCTGGGGCGAAGGCGAAGGAGCGCGATCGGCGAGCGGGAACGCTGTGATCTCCCACCATACCTTCTTCATGCATCCATGCCTACGCTTACTGGAATCCGGAACACACCGTCGTCGTTGATATGTTGTATCTTGAATTTTCTATCGCACTGCTACATCCTGTTTCTCATGGCTTGCATCGGGCTATCGTTTACTGTGTACGCTTGTCTTATATCTCACATATCCTATTGTATATGTACTGCTGTTCGTCGGATATCCATCCCTTTCACATCCGCAGGACTGCTTGTTCGTAAAGATCGCGTTCGGTGATCATGCAGCCGCCAGGAGGACCCGGCGCCCCCCACATGAGGCTTGTCCACGGCTAAAAATTACACTGTGACTCATGTGTTCATTGCGCTCGTCCAAGGCTCCCTCGCCCTCACACTACACCGATCATCTACAGTAGACTGTTTTAGACCTGGACTGATAAAGCTCGTGTAACGTTCCACCCCTTGACGCCAAAAAGTGTACACGCGATGGCGACGACGGCCACCGTCGAGTACTCCTCCCACGCGCCCGAGCGCATCCCAAGTACACGGTACCCGCGGCTTGCCCCACACAACCTCCTGCCTGATGGCCATCCAGACTATCTCAAGCTCATCCTGACCTCGAAGGTGTACGAGATTTTAAAGGAGACGCCGCTTGTGTACTGCCCGAGCCTGAGTGCTCGGCTAGGGAACCAGATATGGCTCAAGCGCGAGGACCTCCAGGAAGTGTTCAGCTTCAAGATCCGCGGCGCGTACAACTTCATGGCGAGCCTGCCGGAGGAGGACAGATGGAAGGGCGTCGTGACGTGCAGCGCGGGTTAGTGTGCGTACTACTACTGGCACATAGTATCCACTGCTCATTCATCCATACACTTCGTCTTCGTATTTCCCCCCCTCCAGGTAACCACGCACAGGGCGTCGCGCTCTCCGGTTCGCGACTGGGCATCCCGTGCACGATCGTAATGCCGAAGGCGACACCGTCCATCAAGGTGCGCAACGTCTCCCGCCTTGGCGCGAAGGTCGTCCTCTTCGGGCAGGACTTCGACGAGGCCAAGACAGAGTGCGCGCGCCTCGCTCAGACGCACGGGCTCATCTTCGTTCCCCCGTACGACGACCCGCTCGTCATCGCGGGCCAGGGCACGGTCGGGATGGAGATTCTGAAGCAGATCCCGAACCCTGAGACCCTGGACGGCATCGTCGCGGGCATTGGCGGGGGCGGCCTCGTCGCAGGCATCGCGGAGTACGTTAAGCGCATAGGCTCGCCGCGCACGAAGGTCATTGGGGGCGAAACGATCGACGCAGACGCGATGGCACGAAGTTTGGAGAAACGCGAGCGCGTCACCTTGGACGAGGTTGGGCTCTTCAGCGATGGCACCGCGGTGAAGATCGTCGGAGAAGAGCCGTTCAGGATCTGCCAGGCTCTCCTTGATGATGTCGTCAAGGTCGACACGGACGAGTTGTGCGCAGCTATCAAGGACGTGTTCGAGGGTACGCATGGCGGCGTTGGGATGTACAGCGCAGATTAACAGAATCTGTCATCCAGAGACGCGCTCTATCACGGAACCCGCTGGGGCCCTAGCACTGGCTGCGCTCAAGCGGTACATTGTCGACAACCAGCTCATCGGGGCGCAAAAGAAGTTCGTCGCCGTGATCAGCGGCGCAAATATGAACTTTGACCGCCTGCGCTTTGTCGCGGAGCGTGCGGAACTCGGAGAAGGGCGAGAAGCGTTGCTTAGTGTCGAGATACCTGAGAAGCCCGGAAGGTGTGTCCTTCGTTCGTTCGACGTCACCTCCAGCTTTCTGTGCTATGCTGTGGACCAGTCTGGCTGAGCTGAACCGCCATTCCTTGCAGCTTCGTCGCACTCCATGACATGATTCACCCGCGTGCGACGACGGAGTTCGTCTACCGCTACCACGATCCGGAACGCGCCCAGATCTTCTTGTCCTTCCAGCTCGAAACAACCTCGCGTGCGAAGGAAGTATCCGAGCTCGTCTTAGGGCTTGACAAACTAGGCATGAAGGCAGTGGACATCAGTGACGACGAGATGGCGAAGAGCCACGCGAGGTATATGATCGGAGGGTGCAAACAGGTACCAAACGAGCGACTGTTCAGATTCGGTGAGCCCGCTCTGTCGTTTGCCTAGATGTTACACGCAGTATGTCTAAGCCATGCTCCTGTCTGGCTCGAATTCTAGAATTCCCCGAGCGCCCCGATGCGCTGAGGAGGTTCCTGAAAGGGTTGCACAGCGGATGGAACATCTCTCTGTTCCATTACAGGAATCATGGCGCGGGTGCGTAATATCATTTGATATATTCGTCAAGGGGATGAACCGATAATTGCCTCAATGCAGATATTGGAAAGGTGCTGGCAGGAATCCAGGTGCCGCCTGCAGACACAGACGAGTTCAGTGATTACCTCAAGAAACTCGGGTACCCTTACGTGGAAGAGACTGACAACGAGGTGTACAAACGGTTCCTTAGAGGATAAATGAAGCGTGCTAATCCCTGTAAGATTGTTCCTCATCGTCTCTCCATCTCTGTTGTGATTTTGGGTAGGGCTCGCCTTACTCAACACCGATTCAAATGTTGGAAGCATCGCGGATGCGCAGAGCTAGACTGACGGACGAAAACAAGTCATCGGAACAATGCCAACCAAGACACTCCGTTGAAGTTTCGGGAGTGCGATCGGTGGCGAATGATATGCGAACCGGCTTTAACGCTACAGCGCGAGCACTTCACGACTCTCACTGTCTTCTAACGGTTCATGGGTCCCTCGGACACTTGCACATCTCGGTCGTCCCGTCCATTCAAATGCCGGTGTTGTCCATAGGCACGTGTTGCTATTCTATAACAGCACGTTTCACAAGTTCTGTGTCTGTTTTAGCGCTGTGGGGTTGTCAGGAAGGCTATTGTGTCGGACAAGTGTCTCTTAGGTATTCACATCGCAAGGAAGTCTGCTATGTGACTCATATGGAGACTACCTCTTGATAGTACGTGAGCATGGTGCCTGAGAGTGCCATCAGATGCTTTAGGTCAGCAGCGAACATACAAATGCGACCGTCAGTGCTTGTGCATCTCATGCAATTATAACTGGCTAGGGATGGTGGGGGATATATATCGGCAACGGTGTATAGTAACTGGTTATCGAGAGCAAGGACAAGCCATAGATGGGAATTTGTCATACAACCCTAATGGTCGGCTACGCAACACATACATATCTACAAGTCCATTCCAGAGGTCCGTCCGGTATCTGAGAGAGTACGGATAGCAACGTGTAACGACGACGGGAGTAGGAGAGAGTGAGGAACGGGGGATGACTATAGGCTCATTGAGACTTCAAGTTCGACCTGCTCATCTTCCGCCATGGGCGAAGTAAGTCGCCAAAGCGAATGGGGCTAGCTGGGCGCGAAATGCCTAGGAATTTGTAAGGGGAACTAGGTCTGAAAGACGAGGAGGCCGCGGAGGGACTGGGCGAAGGGGGGCGTCCGATGGCCGTCTGTATGGCCGTGACAGCGAGGGCCGTTGTGAGGCCGCGGTTGCCCGCCTTCACGCCCGTCGAGCCGAACACGTAGAACCAGCAGAGGTCCCATCCACCGTCGTCGCATTGCCCGGCAGTCAACCTTTCCAGATCGCGGGGGCACTGGACGCCAACAGACGCTGCGGCGAGGATGCGGAAGGCGAGGTCCATCGAGTCGCCAGCGGCGCCTACTCGCTCGTTCACCCGCTCGACGAAGAGCGGGCGGAGCCGAGCCTGGACTGCTGGATCGTCTGCGCGCTTGAGTAGGCGGCTCATGAAGAATAGAAAGCAGTCGGGCGACAGGTAATAACGCGAACCGCCGTGGTACGCGCGATGGAGGAGCACCTCGTAGACCCAGTCCAATGTGCGAGGGAGCTCGTGACCACGACCGTTCTCGTAGAACAGGGAGAGTACGTTCACGCAGACGAAGGGGTCCATGCGTGGTCGTGAACGATCGAAGTATGTCTACGAAGACCCTGTTAGCTAGCAGCCCTGAATTTGGTAACAGCGTTGCGAATCACCTGCATGATGCCATCGGCGTCGACATACTCCAGCATCTCGTCTAGAACGGAGTTGACCAGTGCTCTGTCCGGTTGCAATACCGTCAACGCCACAGATGTTGTGTCGACATCATCCGGGAAGGTCTCCGAGAATAGCGGTTCGCCTGCGGAGTAGCATTGTCAATGAAGGCCTGAGCGCAGGGGAGACGTGCTAGCCCACCTCGGAAGAAATTCCAAGTACGAGGACATTCTGAAAGCGAGATGAGAGTCCTATGTTCAGGCATGAAATCAACAGGGTATCAAGTATCATGTACGTGCATGGACTCGCCTGTCTTGCGTCAACTCGTAGATGATCAGCTGTGTGAAGTTCTCCTCGAAGATCAACCCGTTGTCGGTCGAAGACTCGAGTTTGCCAGCATGCCCACGGAGATACTCTTGGCCACGGCGGATGGGGTCTCCGAAGATATTGCGGAGTTGGCGGAAGACGTTGGCTTGGTTGTCAAACACGATGCCGTGCATACCAAGTGAGCGAGCAGACGCGACGTTGTCAAGCTTGTCATCCACGAACACAGTCGTCTGAGGTTCTAGGTTCATCTCCGAGATGACCTTGCGATAGCATCCCAGATGAGGCTTGCGCTCGCCAACGAGTGCAGAGGGGAATACGCGATCGAAGACGGTCGTCCAATCTGAGCTTAGCGACATGATGTATTCGTAGTCGGGGAGGGAGATGTTGGAGAGGGCAAGAACGGTAAGGTCACCGTGCATCTCACGGCGGAGGTCACGGATCAAGGCGATGAACTCCTCGTTGGGCCGCAGTGACCCGCGAGCCTGCTTAAAGGCTTCTGCAATGACCGAGGCCTCTATCTTGAACTCCTCGGCGCAGCGCTCGTAGCATGCTTCCTGGGATAGTCTGCCGCGTTCGTACTCAAACCAGGTGACAGAGGAGAGGATATCCTTGAGTTGTTGAGGTGGAATGGCGGTCTCAGTCTTTGGAGACCAACGAAAGAGTACGTCGCCGAGGTCGAGGATGAGAGTAGTGTATCGACGGTGGATTGAGGCCATGCTGTAAGATGCGACTAGGTTGAGGGGCGGTAAGAAGGGTACGGAAGGTGTGAGCATGGCGAGCCGGCCAGGCGGCTTAAAAGAGCGGCCGAATGTTTCGAGGAAAGGGGGAAGAGAGAACCTAGTGAGAAATTGGAAGGTAGCTGACGGAAATTGTGTATAAGGTCATGTCGCAGGTGAATAAATGATTGGAACTTGGTACTGTAGCGAAGGCCAGGGCAGAGGCAAGCGCATCGCCGATGTCGGGTGTCTGGTACCCTGAGATGGCTCGGGCGCGATGGGATCTGGGCCCTAGATGATGCGTGAGATGCGTGGGCACCAGATGCCGACAACGGTTTACCCGGCAACTTCGCTTGTGCGGAAAAGTCTTTTTGCCTTGAATACATGCCTCTTGATTATCATGGGCAAGGACGAAACGTCGCCCGATGAGCGTACGGAGGTCCTACGTGGAGGTGGGGGTCATCGAGCATTGTGAGTCGACTGTAGGATCAAAACGTCGACGCAATCCACTGCTTCAGGCCAACCAGCTAGCCGGATCCCTGCATTAGGGTGGGCCCTTTGAGGCGTTTGCCGCATACAGCTGCAGTCTATAAGTAAATATAACAAATGATAACGGGTATCGTGGAATAGGCACTTCGCTTGATCACTTCTGACGGCGATCAGCAGGCGAAATGTCTTTCTCAGTAGTTTTGAGGCCGGCCAATGTCCCGACAATATGAGTGAGCTCCGCACGTTCTGACAGTTTCAAGAAAAACCTCACCACGTGTTGCGGTTGCACCTCAAAACCTCATATCAGGAACGGACGATGCTATAGGCATGAAAACGACCGGCACGAGGCAGCTCGGAATCTTTTCTTGCAGATTTAGAGAGGTGCTACTTCAAGTTAGTGGCTTCATCCAGCGGCTCGACCCTGACTTACCTCTTCTGGATCGAGATCATGACGAATGGTCGCCCCGGTCCTCGCTTTGACCCTCTCCGACGATCGCTGAACGGATCACTTCTCTGGCGTCCGAACGCAGGTCCGTATCCGTCCGAACTAGTGAAGCCTCTCCAGTGTGCTGTATGAAGTTGTACTACAATGGCATACTGACCATGCTAGAAGTTCATTGGCAATTTGGCGTCACCAAGTCGTGCTATATATCGCAGCCTAAGTTGATGATAGAGATCATGACATCGTGAATACCGCTGCGGACGAGCCTGGCGACGCCCTGCAAAGATCGGCGTCGTCGGCGCTGGCGCACACCGTTCCTGAGGTCTGCGGTCCAGTTGCCTCTTGCGCACATATTGCGTCGGAGATATCGAACATATCGCAGACGCCGACGTTACTCCACATCAGCCCACAATGTTATCGGGCTCAGTAGTTATTTGAAGGGCGGCGGTGGGTGCCCCTCGCTGGACTGCCGTCGTCCAAGGCGAGTGTTGCTTGAGCGTTCTCCACGATGCTCGCGGAAGCTGAATTGCAGCTGGCGTCCTTTTAGACGAAATGAATTCATTTAAGGCGGTCCACCGGAGAAGAAGCACCATCGCTTACCGCTAAGTACTGCTGTGATGTTCGACCTGATGGAAATACATTTCAGTACTTAGGTACATATCATCCCGCGAAACAGCAGGTCTGCCGGATAACGAAATTCTTGTTACGTGGGGACTCTCCGACCCAATTGCGTCGAAGTCTTCCAACTTCATCTTCATAGGACTCCTCTAGGGGCAGGGGCAGCTCTGTACAGGCTATGCCTTCGGTCGCCTCCTAGTTCGAGACCCAGTCTTCAACAGCGTACGTTATCCGGGACTCGTCATCTGGGATCGACGTTTTTCTGGAGGTTTCTCACACATTCGCCGACCGGAGGGTCCTCGCCTCCGGTAACTTCAGTGATGAGCCGATGAGGAGCACTGTGGGTCCTCAGTGCTACTGTACTAGTGCAGGAGTGGGCGGCGATGGCGTTGTCCGGATCAGCTATCGAGGGATTGGCGTCGAGCGATTTAGGTGAGTACACCCTAGAATCAGTGTGCTATCGCTCTGACCTTGTCAGAGGAGGAACGGTTACTCGCGTGCTCAGAAAATCGCACTTACATGCGCGGGGTGTCGGCGGCCGGGAGCATTCTCATCATTCATGTCTTCTCGGGATATCGGTCAATCTGCGACGCCTCGATAATGCTTGGGCCTGAGAGGGATTTGCACCCGGAGGCGGTAGGGTTCGCAGCAACGAGGCTTAGAGAAGACCTAGCTAACTTGAAAAACTGCATATTCGGGGGACGCACCCTGCATGCTACACTTCGGGTCAGTGGTGGTATGGCACCTTCCATGCACCCGCATGTCCACTATGCGATCTGTGTAGAATGGTGGCACCTCCGAAATCAGAAGAACATCAGACTGTGAGAGCTTCGAAGGGGACAGCATTGCATTACTGTCAGTGAATTGCCCCTTGGGAAATGTCGGTACCGAGCACCGAACGGAGTTGGCGGGTACCGTTTACCCGAGTCCACTGATTGAAGGCATTCATTTAGCAATATGTCCATCGACAGAGACTGAATCCCGGTTTCGCTGTAGGACGAGTGGTCTTCGCGAATTCGCCTCTGATGCGGGTAGAAAAAGCGTCGTCAGCGTAACAGTAGCAAGCGTCATCAGCGTAACAGTGATTGAGCGGCGCTTCACCTACGCGCTCACCGTGGTCCGGCTGCACGAGCCTCGATTTCGCAGCAACGCGAACTGAGAGCATAAGATGGCCAGCACCACAGCGTCGGGAGCCCTTGGACTTTAGGGTACTGAAGAGACCGATCTTCGGCGTGAGAACGTACACCTTGGATTTAAGGTCCATCTCTTCCGGAGGCTGGTGGCACTTCGTGTGATGCAAAAACGAGGACCGGTGTATTCGTTGTTCCTATACGGAGCAAAGGTCTCTAGCAAGTTCTAGGGAGACCTCTGCTCCGCCTGAACAGAGGCACAGTTAGTGGCTTCACGGTCCAGCGGAAAAGAGGAATCGATGCGGGTGGCGAGGATAGTGCACGAGTTGCGCTAACGGATGCATGGCACGGCAGAATGGACATATAGGGACAAGAGCTGCCTTCACGGGAGCGATGTCAAGCGGTCTGGAACCAACTCCTATAAGGCTAAAGTTCACCGCACACTGCGCAGTCTGCCGGCAAAGAGATCTTGCGTAAAGCAACGCGAGCAGTGGCTAGTGCGATTAGTGCGCAAACTATAGATACAGGAAGACCGACAAGAGAGATAGTAGATGCTGCATCGAGGGTGATATTCGGGAGTCACATGTCGCAAGGATGTAAACCCGGCGACGGCGTATCATTCCGAGGGTGTCTACATCGCTGGTGAGGACATTGCGGACTACAAGGCGATGCTAGAGCAGCGGAGGGAGCTCGTGGGGTCACGCTACGGGCGCGTAAGAACTATATGGTTCCTGACCTATGAGACCTATAGAAAATACGCAGCAAGGTCATGTCAGTCCCAAGAGGGGGGTGGGGGGTAGCGGGACGTACTGGTATGTATCTGCCCAACTATTCCAGCTCACGACGTGTCTCAATGAGCCTTGCCCTTTGTCAGCAAATTATCTGCAATCACGTATGCGGTGAAGGCGACCAGAGCAACGCCGAAACCAGGGAATGCACGGGCGAACATTTGACGACGGGAGAACACAGGGTGCTTGCGCCAAGCCTCGCGCTTTCCCCACGGGTCGCGGTAGAGCTGGGGGTCTGGCGGAGGCATCTGGAGGAGAAAGGAGTAAGAGGTGAGCGTGCCGGAGCAGTCGAGGTACTCACCAGATGATAACTGGCAGACAAAGGCCGTTGGGAAGCTGGCTGGAGGGAAGTTGTTGGCCTGCGTCGGTGCCACTCGGGCTGCGGTGTGCCAGTGCGTTGTGAGTGCGCTGCCGGGGATTAGGCGCGCAGGCACGGGGTGATGAGAGTTTAGGGCCGGCGCGGTGACACTTCAACAGATTGGAGCTGGCACCCTTCCCCAGCTCGCTTTTCTCGTCTCACGTCCATTCCTCCTTGTCCCTGCTCCACCACCACACTGTCTCTACCGCCCCTCTTGTGTATACGCCCATGTCTGGCGACGTATCTATGCTCTCAGACGACGACGTCCCTCTCGGCCTCAAGCCCTCCGCCTCTAATGGCACTCAGAATGGACACGTTATTCAGAACGGCAACGGCCATGCCGTGAGCGAGTCCTCCATGAGCGAAGATGACATGCCGCTGGTGCGTCGCTTTCTTTCAAGCAAAGTCGTGGCAAGACCACTAAACCACTCGGCCCTAGTCCCAGACTACTCGTACCAAGTCGGAACCCGTGACCCCGGACACTCGCCTCCTCAAGCGCAAGAAGGCTGTCGTCTCCGAGTCGTCTAGCGAGGACGACAAGCCTCTCGCATTGACACCGGCGAAGGGCAAGTCGGCCGCCGTGCGGATGCCAGGTGCAGTGGCGGCGACTACAACGAAGTCGACCACTGCGAACGGGAAGCGGACGCCGCGGGCGAGCAAGGCGATCATCGAATCAGAGGACGATGAAGACGATGACGACGTCCCCCTAGCCAAGCCCAAGCGCGCGGCCAATGGCAAGGGCAAGGTGGCGGCGAAGGGCAAGGGTAAGCCGCCCAAGAAGAAAGTGAAGCAGGAATCCGAGTCTGAGCGGGACGTCGAGTCTGAGGACGACATCCCAGCTCCGCCACCGAAGAAGGCGCCCGCCAAGGGCAAGCGGAAGGTCAAGGTGGAGAGTGACGCTGACGAGAGCTCTTCAGAGGACGACAAGCCTCTGAAGAAGAAGCGTGCCACTGCGACGAAGAAGGCCAAGGCGGAGGCGTCCGACAACGTCAAGCCTAAGAAGAGGGGCGCAAAGAAGGAGGAGGACTCGGACGCGGTATCCAAGAAGAGCAAAGCGAAGAAAGAGGAGGAAGAGGCGGAGACGTACAGATGGTGGGAGGAGCAGAACGCGAATCGTGACGGGTCCGTCAAATGGGAGACGATGGAGCACAATGGCGTGTATTTCCCGCCTCCCTACGAACCCCTTCCGAAGCACGTCAAGATGAAGTATAACGGTGAGTGCATGTGGTTGCCTCATCAACACGTTTGTTCACTTACATGTATGTACAGGACAGCCCGTGGACCTCCCTCCGGAGGCGGAGGAAGTCGCTGGGTTCTATGGTGCCATGTTGGAGACCGAACACGCCAAAGACGCGACCTTTAACAAGAACTTCTTTGACGACTTCTTGAAGATCCTCAAGAAATATCCTCCGGTGCGCATGTTTGACACATCGTCAATACACTTTCATTCATGTCTTCGAGTAGAAGAACGGCCTAAAGATCACCAAGTTCGAACTTTGCGACTTCAGACCGATGTTTGAGCACTTCGAGGCGGAGAAAGAGAAAAAGAAGTCAATGACTGCCGCGGAGAAGAAAGCGGCGAAGGCGGCTAAGGACGCGTTGGAGGCCCCATATACTCACTGTTTCCTCGATGGACGTAAGGAGAAAGTTGGCAACTTCCGCGTCGAACCTCCAGGTCTGTTCCGTGGCCGTGGGGATCATCCTAAGAAGGGGGCGCTTAAGGTAGACCTCATCAAATGGGCATTAGGGACTGGCAGCTGATGAGCCGGTTCACAGCTCCGTGTGCGCCCCGAGGACATTACGATCAACATCGGCAAGGACGCCCCTGTTCCCAAGCCGAACGTTCCGGGCGAGTGGAAGGAGGTTGTTCACGACAACACGGTCACCTGGCTGGCGAACTGGGTTGAGAACGTCAACGGTAACTACAAGTACGTCTTTTTGGCCGCTGGCAGTTCCATCAAGGGTCAGAGCGATTGGACGAAATTCGAGAAGGCGCGAGAGCTTAAGGTCAGCTTCACGCCGTCGTTTGTTCTCCTCGTATCACTGAAGCTGGTATGTCTAGAAATATGTCGACAAGATTCGCTTGGACTACAATGATGCGCTGAAGAGCAAGAACATGGCAGAGCGTCAGCGTGCGACCGCCATGTACTTCATCGACAAGCTCGCGCTTCGAGCTGGTAATGAGAAGGGCGAGGAGGAGGCCGACACCGTCGGCTGCTGCTCTTTGCGCTGTGAACACGTCACGCTCGAGCCTCCTAATAAACTCGTGTTTGACTTCTTGGGTAAAGACTCTATCCGGTACTACAACGAGGTGGCGGTAGACGACCAGGTGTACAAGAACATACGCATATTCAAGAATGACAAGAACGATGACGACGAGTTGTTCGACCGTGTTAACGTGCGTGTGCTTTATGGCAACCACTTCGTGTGGCTTGATGTTGACGTCGCAATCGGCCGTTGCAGACCGGAGCCTTGAACCGTCATCTGGCCTCGTATATGAAGGGCCTCACGGCGAAGGTGTTCCGTACATTCAACGCCTCATTGACGTTCCAAGAACTGCTCGATCGTGGTACGCCTGAGAAGGGCACTGTCCAGGAGAAGCTGAACGCGTATAACCACGCGAACCGCATGGTGGCTATCTTGTGTAACCATCAACGTGCTGTGCCCAAGACCCACGAGCAGTCTATGGGCAAGATGCGGGAGAAGGTGTGTCCCGTACATGCCTGTTGTCGTAAGGTCGCTCAACCGGAGGAATGCATGCTAGTTGCGTGGATTGAAGTACGAGCGCATGAAGCTCCGTCACGCCCTCTTCGCCGCCGATGCTAGATTCAAGAAGAACAAGAAGTACAAAGATCCAGAGTCTGACCTCGACGACGACGCCATCGCTTCGCACGAGGACAACTTGAAGGCGAAGGAGATTGAGAAAGCCGAGAAGAAGTTCCAGAAGGACAACGAGAAAGCGGCGGCGGATGGCAAGGAGCCGCAGGACGAGTCGGTGCTGAAGGAGAAGATCAAGGAGATCGAGGCCGAGTACAAGAAGCTCAAGAAGGAGCGTGGCACGGAGAAGCACGCGCTCAAGAAGGAGAGGCCGACGGAGAAGATTGAGGACGCGATCGAGAAGCTGGAGGAGAGGATCAAGACGTTTAAGCTGCAGATGGAGGACAGGGAGGCGGGGAAGGAAGTTGCTCTGGGCACGAGGTGAGTGCCGTCTTGGGTCTTCGTTGTGTGCGGGACGTCCGGTGACGGGTTGTCGTGCGCCTGCAGTAAAATCAACTACTTGGATCCAAGGTATGTTCGTTTGACTTTCGATATGGTCCAGAATCACGCTTACTGAGTTGGGTGTAGAATCACCGTTTCGTGGTGCAAGGAGCACGGCGTCCCTGTCGAAAAGTTGTTCTCGAAGACTCTTATGACTAAATGTGCGTACACCCGCGATCCGCTTGTCTTGCTCAGTGGTGTTCATATTTATATCGTCGCAGTCCCTTGGGCAATGGAGGTTGATACGGATTGGAGGTTCTGACGTTATTGCTACATTATTCTCCTCACACGTTCCAGATGCACATATCACGCTTCTCGCCCTCACGTCGGACGATCCACTGATCAACCTGCTCTCGCAACACTGCTCGTCGCATATCCCATCATACGTATTGCATATATATCATGTCTTTTTAGTATCTGTAGAAGTGCCTGTCACAGACCACGGTGTTCATAGTTGTTGCCCATGTAGCGCATATTCCTGCCTATGTCGCGTGTGCCTTCTTGAGGATGCCGATATCGACGTGTCTGAGCGCCCTGACGCCCGAGGCTGAAGCTTGAGGCACGTGGAAGTAGTAATAGGTCCGAGCAGCGTCACCGGCTCTGAGCTCCAATCGTCCATCCCACCCACATCCAGCCATGTCCTCACGAGCAGCAGCCTTCACCTCTAAAACCGCATGGGAGGCACTCGGCGTCGAGTCGGGTGAGGAGACCGAGGAGGACGCCCTCGACGAAGCCAACGCATCTCAGCCTGAGAGGTATGACGCACCAGTTCATGGGCACGGTCGCGTCCCTGCGGTTGTAGTTGCTCATGCCTTGTTTTCCTAGTGCAAACGAGTCCAATGCGAAGCTATCAAAGAGCGCACTGAAGAAGCAGAAGGCGTTGGCTCGCGCGGAGAAACGCCAGCTCGAGAAGGCCGCGCGCGCTGCTGCCAGAGCGCAAAAGGCCACGGGTAGTGACGTGCAGCCCCCCATCCCACCTCCCGCTGAGATTTCGACAACGTCTCAAGATGCAACACCGCTAGTGGCGGCAAGTCCTGTGATTGCGGAGGCATTGGACGTTCCAGAGGCGGAGGAGGTCTCACCAGAGACGACGGTCGCACCGCCGAAACAGGCGAACGGGACTGCGCACTCGGTGAATGGTTCTGCAGCCTCAGCACCCTCAAAAGAGTCTTCTGCGTCTACTCCCACTGCTCCAACCCTGTCTGCGCGACATGTGCCCGCACCGGCCGAGTCGAAGCCGCCTGTTCAAGTAAGCTTTGCCTCGGCTGCTTCCGAGAAGGAGACACTTGCCCGCCGAAGGACCGACGTCGAAAACCCGCCGGAAAAGCAGCTGACTCCGGAGGAGAGCGAGCAGGTCAAAAAGAGACGCAGTTTCCTGACCCGAACGCTGTGGACGTTCATCATGATCGGAGGGTTCATTAGTGAGTGGATTCCAGTCTGGTTGCAAGAAGTATACTCAGTCAGTGCTTCTCTGTAGCTCTCCTGCTCATGGGTCATGGATACATGGTACTACTCGTAATGCTATGCCAGACTCTTGTGTACCGAGAGGTTACCGCGCTTTTCTCCCTGAAGCGGAAGGATGGACAGAGTAACATCAGCGGCCGGGATCCGTGGAGCAAGACGCTCAACTGGTACTTCTTCGCCGTCACCAATTACTTCCTTTATGGCGAGAGCATCATCTACTACTTCAAGGTATGTCAGGTCGCCACCGGTCTCGAGTATGCATGCTCAGCTCACATGTTTGGCGGTTGTAGCATGTAGTGTTCTCCAACGCCCAGCTGACGCCGTTCGCAACGAACCACCGTTTTGTCAGCTTCACGCTATACTTGATCGGCTTTGTGGGCTTCGTGATGTCGCTCAAGCGTGGTTACCTGAAGCAGCAGTTCGGTATGTTTTGCTGGGTGCACATGACGTTGCTCCTCATCGTCGTGTCAAGGTTCGTCCCCTGACTCAAGTCAAGGTATACTTCGCTGACTATCCATTTCCCAGCCACTTCATCGTGAACAACATTCTCGAGGGTCTCATCTGGTTCTGGGTCCCCGCCTCCCTTGTCATCTGCAACGACGTCTTCGCCTATGTCTGGGGTATCACCGTTGGCCGTACCCCTCTCATCAAGCTCTCACCCAAGAAGACCGTCGAGGGCTTCATCGGCGCGTTCTTCAGCACGCTCGTTTTCGGTCTCCTTTGGGGCACCTACTTCATGCGCTTCTACTATATGATCTGCCCCGTTGAGGACCTCGGTGTCTCTGCTTGGAGCGGCGAACTGCACTGCACCCCCAACCCGGTTTTCGTCTGGCGTGACTGGGAGATGCCTCTTCCGCTGCGCGTGTTCCTTGCTCCCGTCGTACGTGTATATCGCACATCTATTTCGCCGACGTACTAATGCTACTCTTCGATCATAGCTCGGCAACCGGACCACGATCCCGTACGCGCCCTACCAGTTCCACCTCCTCGTCCTCGCATGCTTCGCGTCCCTGGTTGCGCCTTTCGGCGGCTTCTTCGCCTCCGGTTTCAAACGCGCGTTCGACATAAAGGACTTTGGCCACAGCATCCCCGGACACGGCGGCATGACCGACCGTATGGACTGCCAGTGCGTATTCCCCCTTCGCAGCGTTGTCTCCTATATGCTGATCCGCGGTCTTCCCCCAGGTTCCTCATGGGCGTCTTCACCTACGTCTACTACAGCAGCCTCATCCGCGAGAACCACGTCACCGTCGGCTCGGTGCTGCAGACGATCGTCAGCTCCCTCACGGTGACCGAGCAGCTCGAGCTCATGGCGGACCTGAAGCGGTATCTCGAGGGCCAGGGCGTACAGGTCAAGCTCTGAGCGAGCAGGGCTCCTAAACCCGCCGAAGTGATATTCGTCATGTCTGTTGGAACCGGGGAATAGGTTGGGGGTTGAGCGGTTGTGTTTCTCGTGCGCAGTATGGGCTTGTTCCTTCCGCTTTCTTGCGTCGCGCTCGCTGCTCGTGGGCGACGGACGAGGAGGAGGTACTCGGTGGTTTCTACTGTTACCATATATCGCATAATCATGTCGCTTTGCACCTCATGCTAGTCCTAGTCTCAGTCATAGTGGTACCTCCATCGAATAACACGTTTAATATGGATCTCAATGATTCTTCAGGTAGTTTTTCTCACTGTGCGCATGAAGCAACCGATTGCATCTTAGCGTGCAGGCAGATTTAGTCTTGACTTTCGCGAGCTGTGGGGTCCCCTAGTCCACGGCTACCTCATAAGACACAACCCGGAACAGTTGGAGATACCACGACAGATTGGCTGTCTTGCAGGCGAAGGGAGGTGCGTGGCATAATGCATATGGCTCATTCGTAATCATATGTGATGATAATTGGTACAAACATGATGCGCCCAGACGGCTCGAGAAAGCGAGGTGAACGAATGAGGACAACAAGATATATGCGACACGCTTATGACCTGGGCTTCTCCTACAAGACGCAGGACGGAAGTCAGTATTGGCGACACAGTGAATTCATACGAAACTTCACGTACCTTCTTCTCCTTCCAGAGTGCCAAGAGACCTACACCAGAGACCTTGACGACCTTGAAGCGGACACCGGGAATATCACCCTTGGCCTTACCCCGGCGACCGAAGCCGGAGATCAGAACCTCGTCGTTCTCGTCGACGAAGTTGAGGCAACCATCGTTCTGCAGAGGGCAGAGGAGGGCAGAGCGATAAACGCAATCAGCTCAGGAACAAACCAGAAAATCACACCATCAGGGCCCGGACTGCTCGAGAGCGCGCGGGACCTGGACTAGGCTGGACAAATGGTACGTACCGGCACGAACGCGGTGACCTTCTTGCCGTTCTTGATGAGTTGCACACGGACACACTTGCGGATGGCGGAGTTGGGCTGCTTGGCCTCAACACCGACCTTCTCCAGGACGATGCCCTTTGCGTGGGAAGAGCCTCCGGTGGGGGAGGTCTTGTAGATGTTACCGAGGGCGCGCTTCTTGTACGCCTTGTCCGCCTACGAATGCAAAGGGGAACAAGAATGAGAACACTTGTGTCTACAGATGCGATGCGGGAGATACAGAGGTGCAGAAGGATGTAGCAAGGGAAGAGTACTCACCCAGCGATTTTCGCGGCGATCGGTGCGCAGCTTGCGCGCGGCCTGCAATCCACGAGGTTTGTTGGCTAGAGCGCAAGACGGTCAGCATGGCTTCGTAGGGCGGTCGAGGAGTGCGCAGAACGGGGACGACGACTTACAGCCCATACTTGCGGGAGTCTTGAGTGGTAGATACGAGGGAAGAGGACTACTGGCGGAGTTCGAATCCAAACCCTTGGAACTGTGAAGTTGCTCGCTCTCCGGATCACGTGCCTCTCAGCCACCTTCATGACCCTCCAGGCGCCCGTTGCTTCTTGATCCCATCCGTCGCTCGTTTCCTGTTGAATCTCCATGGCTCGAATCCGCAGAGTACTCCTCCAGCAATGTTCGCGCGTCTATGCGCGTGTCTCATGTCTAAACATACGTATCCAGCGGTTTCTGGTTTGTACTCCAGGACAATGTCAGCTGCTTAGCAGACAGAACTTGATGCCAGGCGTGCCACCGTCCTATCATCTACACTCAATGCCTTCCGTTCCGAGACGGCCACGTGAATGGATCTCGCCGCTTTTCGTACCATGGCACCTTGTGATTTCTGCGCCTATATCTTCCCACCACTAATTTTGCTATCTCGCACATTTGAGATATAGGGAGTCTCTGGGAGGCAGTGCGCTCAGAGCCGTAGCCCACATCCCTGACAATGTCGCAAAGCCGCGGTATACAGTACTACCGCCATGGTCGCTTTCGTGTCGCGGGTGGCATGCTGCCTGACGCTATCACTGCGTACAGCACCTACGGTGACCCGACGAACCCATGCATAGTCTTTCCCACCTGCTATGGTGGAAGGCTCGATAGTACGTCTATTCCGCGCGTACCGTCCTGCGGCTTTGTAACATGAGACAGACCGGGGTTTGCTAGGTCAAGACTACATGATCGGTGAAGACAAAGTGGGAAACCTGCACTAGTGCTAACGAGCACCAACTGAGTGGCGTGATGTTTATCATATGAAGGCACTCGACCCAACCAAGTACTACATCGTCACCTTTGCTCTCTTTTCAAATGGCGAGGTAGGCTTGTCATCGTGTCCCGTATTGCCAAGAGCGCTGACATAGTCTGGATGGTTCCAAGTCGTCTTCCCCGTCGAACACGGTGAACTAGAATCCGTCACACAGTGGCTTCCGCCGCTCACGATACCGCGCTCCAGCCCCCACCTTACAACGGCCCGTACTTTCCCGCTGTATCGTATGAAGATAACATGTGAGCCCAAGCACTATAATGTGCATCGTCGTTCTCACGTCCAAGTAGCCGGGCTCAGTACGCTGTCCTGACCAAGGAACTCAACGTAAAGAAGGTCTACTGCGTGATTGGCTTTTCCATGGGTGGACAGCAGGTGACCCCACTCGTGTTCTCTTGATATGTTACAGACAGCTGATTTTTTCCAGGCGTACTATTGGCCGGTCATCTATCCGGATTTCGTGGAGAAGTGGGTTTGTTACGAGCGTATGTAGGCCTTTGAGTAGTACTCACCTCGTTCCATGGCAGGTACATCCCGATATGCGGCTCCGCTCGCACGAGCATGCACAACAAGTGGTGTGTCATCCTTTCTTCATGCTTGGGACACTGCGGTATGGAAGCTAAGCTGGTATATACAGCTTCATTGAGGGCCCGAAATCAGCCCTTCTCAACTCGAAAGACTTTGAGAACGGCCATTACACCAAGGAACCGCAATTCGGCATCCGTGCCTTCGGTCGCGCATACAGCGCGTGGGCGTACGGGCAGACGGTACGCTGCGTCCTCCATGTCTGCCTTTTCAATGCCATGCAAGTGATTCTGACACCATCTTCGCAGTGGTTCCGGGAACATGGCTACCTGATGGACGGCCGGTACTCCTCGCTGGAAGACTTCCTCCGCGTCGACTGGGAGGGCGGCTTCCTCGGGACCTGGGACGCGAACGACATGATCACGCTCATCAATACCTGGCAGGACGGCGACGTCACGCTCGTCGGCAAGTCCTCGTTCAGGGCGGCGCACGACGATGACGGCTTCGCCAGCGTCTTGAGAGGTATCAAGGCGAAGGGTTTGATCATGCCGTGCAAGACTGACCTGTACTTCCCGGTATGTTGGGCGCTGGTGTTGACTGTGGGCGTGTCATGCTTCTGACGAAGTGGTGTATGCAGCCGGAGGATAGTGAGATTGAGGTATCGCATCTAGGCGACAACGCCAAGCTCGTTGTGATCGACTCCGTGTGGGGGCACATGGGTATGTGGTATTCCCTGTTCGGCCCCATCTTAGATGACTGAAGGTTGTCCTGTCTAGCCGGCGGAGGGGCGAACGCTCGGGATGACGACTTCATCAAGACAGAAGTAAGGAAATTTTTGGAGAACTGATCATCCCGACCTCGCGACCAACTGGTGGAGGGCTTTACTTGCACAGGTTCCGTTGCGAATGTATGTAAGATCGAATGAGACATACATGTCCGGTCGGATCAAGTGGCGTGGCACCGCAGAAGCTTCAACTGACTGAATGGTGGCGTACACGGAAAAGAACTGTGTTCGTTCAGAAGCGACTGCGAGTTATCGTAGGCCTTTGAATAACTTGGTGCGTCTTCTTCATTCGACAGCGACGACTCTGTATCGTTGGTCGCGCGCGCATGTGATACCAAATGTCCGCCTTTATGTCTGCTTGACAGGATGTCGAACATTCGGTATGACTTTTGTGGTCTCGTCGTCATTGAAAGAAACAATCATGTTGCAATTGGCGGCTTATGCTCATACCGAATGGCGACCTTGTAAGTGATCGCCCGCTGGGATGCGCCACCAGAACACAATAGTTTCACCTCGCATGGCCGACGCGTCTCGACGACGTTGTTTGCAGCATCCCCCGCGCGTGCAGCCACTTCTGTCGTCAATATGTTCAGACCAAGTGAAACAATACGTTTACACGATTGTTCAGAGGACCCAGGTGTATGGCTCTCGCGACTGCTAGGGATGCGACATACCTTGTTCTGACAAGATATAAAGCGGGACGCATCTTGTGAGACGAATCCTACACTCCCTCAACCCTCGCTCTCTACACCATGTCTTCTGAGCACGCCTCGCGACCTCAATCCGCTATTCACGAGCCCCCCGCCGACGTCCTCGCTGATGTTGATCCTGGCGCCCTTCCCACCCCACAAGAATTCGTCATGCATGTGACGCTCAAGGACTTCCTACGAAATTTCACGATCGACGAACTCATACAATTCCTGGAAAGCCTGAGCAAGGAGTCGTACGTTTCTCGCACCGGTTGTGCCTTTACTATGTACTTGACTGTGACGAGCAGTTCGGAGCCCACGGACGTCGAGATTGAATTTGAAATGGCGGTCTGGGCCTACACCTGCGAGCGGTATTATGACCACGTTAAGCAAGTAGTGGTGAGCTCACAGACACGCATCATATGATACCCTAGTCTCAGTGCAATAACATCATACTAGGCGCGAAGCCTTGCAACCCAGGCCGCAGCACGCAATTCCGAGAGTGGCACGGCCGGGACGGGCGATTCAGAGGTTTTAGCAACTGCAGATACCTCCCCGTCTCCCTCCGAGTCCCTGCAGTCAGATGTTGACGAAAATTCGAGTCAGCCATACAAAACCCAAGATCTGAAGACAGGAGATCCCTCGAGGATGCCAGCAAATTGATAGCCAGAGTCGCCCGGCTGACGACCTGCTGGACTTGCGCTGCCGTCGCCCTGTTGTGCTCAGTTACCCGCCTCGTCCTACCTTCTAGCTGTACTACTATTAAAATGATATGAAACAAGTATATAGAGATATCCATGCGTAAGTCATAGTATGCCAAGCGAGCGGAAGGCCATGACAACACGGCAAAGGACATTCAGTGTAAGGCTGTTTATGATAGCACATACCAAGGCGGTATATTCGACAGATGAGACAGCACATGATAAACCAACATTCGGAGAGCTGATCAAAGACGAGAGCGATGGATGGCACCTGAGATGAAGCATGTAAAATCGATGTGGAGGGATGATCGGACTGCACGCCAACCGAAGCTTGAGCAGACCGGCTCAGGAAACAAGCGGGGTGTACTCTGGTCCACTTCATTAGCGGAGGACGTTCATGGAGATTGACGACACTGCTTACCCGCAATGTTGACCGGTGAATCACGTAATGGATCAGTCCATTCCGCTGTCTCGTGCCTCGTAGCTCCGTACCAGGCTGAACCGCGATCTGAGGAGGTTGAATGTGTGATATGCCAAGTATAAAACAAGGGACTCACGTTTCGCAGTAGACGGGAATAGGTGATCGTCTGTCTGCGTACTGCCGAAGGGGTCTGCATGATATCTGCCCAGGGATCTTGTCGGCGCCGGAGGAGAAGGGTCACCGGCATTGGATTGCGTTTTCCTGACCTGACGTCGAAGACGATTGATGCCCGCTTTCGCATTCGATGTCTGAAGCCCATGTATCAACAGGAAGAGCATCGTCAGAGCAAAGCATGAACATATCTGTCACGGCGTCTTCGCGCAGATCTGTCTGAATGTGCCACAAAGGTCCTTGTTATACGAACCGCTTGGGCTATGGTATTCCTCATCTCGAGAACCCTGAAGCAGAAGCAACTCAGTCTGAGGCGAACGTGCACGATGGGAACCAGGGATGTACGGACCTTTCAGCTCTGGACTTGGGCAGGAACGCCTCTGCTCCAGCAGGCTCCATGTCCGCGATACACCTATCGCCTGGGCGTTCACATTCAGTCTTGGCTTGTGGTGATATGAGCCACTGAAGAAAGGCTTGAATAGCTTGAACCAGCGACCCCGCGAGTCTGTGTGTTGATCCATCATGTGCCTGTATGGCCGTCTTGAATGATCTCCAAGATCTCGCGCAGCTCGGCCGCGACACTGACAACGGCTAGGTTCATTTGTTCTACGGTGAAGGGTGGGCGCACAGGAGGAGTGTCTACTCGAGATTCAGAAGGGGTTACTGAAGTTTGATCGCGAGTCTTCGAGTTCTCATATAACGGTGCCGAGCGGGGACTGATATTGACCATACTTGAGGAGCAAGACAATAGCAAAAATGCGACGTCGGCGGCGCGCTGTTGCTACCTGATACTAGGTCAGAAACTTTCGACGTAATTTTCGAGTTGGACTCGAAGCGAACCGAGAATTGTGCTGCCTCCAAAGTGAGTTCTGTCTCTCTGTGCTGGCCTACGCGTGCGGCGTGCCCCTTGAGAACTATACGACTTCAGGGCTACCCCACCGCAAACTCTGACGCGACCGCCGAGCCCAAATCCAACGCAGGCCCTAGCCTCTAGGAAGACCGCGAGCGGCGTTGATGTGGGCTCCTGTCGACTGTGAGAACGGGACCACGTGATCCCGCCCAGTACCGTCCGATCTGTCTCCTGTGTCCAGCGACCTGCGGGCATGGTCCTTGAGCCCCTAATGCACGCCTGTCATTCTCACTTTCCTTGATCCCTGCGTCTGGACGGCTTGCGAGTGGCTGCTCCCTTCTCTGTATCTATCTAGATGCGAGGACGCCGTGACTACTTCGCATTGGACGCAGGCGAGATATACTGGCGGGACCATCATGACTGGCTTCAGCAACGAGGGTACATGCTACGCCCCCGGTATAAACCCGACTGGAAACCTTCTTGGACAGGAACGAATAAGTCGCCTTTCTTGTGCGACGATGGACAAGACGCAATCGTGAGTACTCTGGACTTCCAGTTTACGGTCTGATGCTCACGACTGTGCAGAGACCAGTGGTCATGGACGCGACGCGCGTCAGCGACAACCGGATGGTGCTCCTAAAGCGCGTTGATAAGTCGGTTCATCCCTACGAGGTCGAGATGGGCAGTACTTCTCCGCCGCACCCATTGCCTTCGATTCTCGCAACCATTGCTGCCCTATCTACGAAGCACTCCAAGACCCCACCGATCAAAACATCACTTTCATTGTTATGCCGCATCTAAGGAGATATACTAATCCTAGCTTCCGAACAATCGGCGAAGCGATCGAGTTTTTCCGCCAAGTGTTAGAGGTAGCTACTCGGGTTCTATAACGACACCTTCTTCAGCCTCATCCTTTCATTACAGGGTCTACACTTCATGCACGAACACCATGTCGCTCATCGGTCTGCATTTGTCTTCCTCTACTAATAGCTCGGTCTTACCTGAATACACGCAGAGACTGCATGTCGCTCAACATCATGATGGACGCTGGGCCTATGTATCCTGACGGATATCACCCCCGAGCAACATTCCTGACGCGTGACTATTCTCAAACAGCCAGGTATCACTCTAGGACGCGGCGTCCAGTGAAGTACTACCTGACCGACTTTGGTATCTCCTGCCGGTTCGAGGAGGATGACCTGAACCCAGTGGTTATACCAATTCTCAGCGGTGATCGCTCTGCTCCAGAATTTCAAGAGGACGAAACGACCCCTCGCAACCCCTTTCCGACAGATGTCTACTATCTGGGGAACGTCATCCGGGAAGATTTTTTTTTTTTTGAGGTTGGTTATCTATGGGCTCGGCTTTGCGCTCGCTCACACTCCCGTCGTCATAGAAATACTCAAATATCGAATTCATGAAACCCCTTCTGGAGTCCATGGTGAACCCCGACGTTGATGCTCGTCCAACCATGTCCGAGGTTGTCGAGACTTTCAAGACGATTGTCTCGAAGCTGTCCGGCTGTCAAATCCGCAGTCGGCTGATACGACGCGAGGACGACGACTTCGTCAACGCGTTGAAAGACGTCTATTATCTCTACTTCCGCTTTCTCCCGCGTCTCATTTTACGTGTCCCTCCTATACCTACTCCCAAGTCGTCGAATGTGCCGCCTAGATGATGGTTTTTCTATCGTTTTCGTGTGCATTTATACCTAACTTTCTTCTTATTGTCATTTCTCTCCGAGTAGTCTATGTTGTTTGCTCTCCTTCGTGTTGTCCACACTCTTTCAACCGTGATCTTTTCCTGAAGACAGTGTTCGTACTTCCGGTGCGTTCTCCCTCCCCCTTCAGAATGTTCCTCGGAGCTCGTGCATCGCATAGACAGCTCATCAATGCTACGCGGGTTGCGGATGGCGCTATGGTTGTCGTCAAGCAAGTGTTGCGCACCGACCACCCATATAATGCGGAGATAGCTCAGTTCTTAAGATCTGAGCCCCAGGCTTCCGAGCGGAGCAATTACTATGTCCTTATCTATGAAGTCCTACCAGCCCCAGACGACGGCAATCTCCAAGTATTGATGATGTTATTCCTCATTCAACCTCACTCGTCCACCCGCAGTGCCGTAGACTCCCTGCGGGCAGTGCACCTCTGGCAATGGTGGGGAAATAGGCGTCTGTGAAGCTGGAGGGGGGGCACCCACACATGATACGCTGACAAGGTAGCAATCCTTCTCTCGTAAATTGGGCACATGATAGGTATTGAGCTTTTCACTCTGGCAGGTCCATCGAAGCGTTAACTGCTTCCGCTCGGTCTACGAACCGTCCTTGTTCAGGCGAGTCTCACCCTTCCATGAGGACATGGGCGCATCGCTGACTATTGTCTCTCAGCGTTCACCCTGGTGTGTCCAGGTGTGTCCCCTGCCTGGCAGGTTACTTTACCAACCATTGATTCGAAGGCGTATCAGGCGTATAGGAGTTGGGTCACGCCCATGAGCTTTGCTACGATGCAAACCTTTCCGGCCAAGACGCCGTAATGGCTGTCGCACCTATACCTATAAGCTTCGCCGAGACAAGCTTGACCACATGGCTCCGATACGGAGCAAGTGGACAAGTCGCGCGCCTCCGGAAGTCACGGAAGAATATCACGTTGCCTTCGACAGCCGCCTTGGCCAAGGAATCGCGCTCGCAACCATCTCGGCAGCATCTTTCGTGTACATTTGTATGCGTCCTCGAACAATAGCGAGACGCACGCCGATGGTGAGGTTCTGTCAATAGCTCAGTCAGATGGAAGAGAAGAACGTCATGATTTCGGCGAGGGTAGCGAAGGCAACCTCAGAAGGAGGTAAGGTATCAGACGAAAGTAGAGGTGATGCACATACTTCAAGGCATTGACGATACTATCGTCGGTATGAAGGACGAGGCGAGCTCCTAACTGCCATTTAGACAGCTTAGATACGAGTTGCTCGAATGACTTGACGACCTGCGCCATAGTCGGCCGCGTTGCAGGATCCTTGCGAACCATGGAACCGACGAGAGAATACAGGAACTTCAGGTTAGAATACTGCTGTAAGTATCGTTAGTACACCCGGAAGCGATAGTACAAGATCTGGACGACTCACCGTAAGGAAATCCTCCCTGATCACGTTCCCAAGATAATACACATCGGTCGGGAAGGGATTGCGAGCCGTGACTTTGTCTTCTTGGAACTCGGGAGCAGAAGGATCGCCGCTGATGATCGGCACGACTATGGGATTCGTGTCGTCCTTGTCAAACCTCTTGGATATGCCGAAGTCCGTGAGATAGTACTTCACTGGACGTCTCGTCCGTGAATAATGCTTCGCTTTCCCGGAGTAGTCGCGCTTCATAAACGGGGAACGAGGATGGTACATCTCAGGATACATGGGACGAGCGTCCATCATGATGTTGAGCGTCATGCAATCACTACAAAGAGCTTGTCGTGTGAACAACGCCACAAGAGGCAAAAGGTTGGGTCATACCGATGCGCGACATGGTGCTCGTGCATGAACGCTAAGGCCTGTGCCAAGCGTGAGATGAGGAAGGCTAGTGGAAGGGGATTTAAAAGGCCCACCTCAAATATCTGGCGGAAAAACTCCAGAGCTTCCCCTACAGTCAGAAAATTGGGGTCGTTGTACCGCCGAAGGAGGGGCATGACAATGATGGCTGTCATCAGCAAAACTGCAAAATTATTGTTGTATATAACCTACCCACACCTGCTCGGGCAATCATAGGAATACCGTGCAACATTTGGGGAATGTTGGGCGCACCTTGTCTGGTTTCCATCCTAGCGCAATAAACATCAGCAAAAGTGTAAAAATACCCTACAGGATTGCGGACATTGCCTGAAGCGCCAGTTGTGGCACGGTCTTGCAATACCGGAAATGTATTCCGAGAGCGCGCAATACCGGCAATACCTCGCAATACCTGCAATAATGCGAAGTATTGCCCAGTATTGCCGATATTGCCTGGTCTTGTGGGATATTGCAAGGTCTTGCAATATATTTACGACATTGCAAGACCACCCATGACAGCGCATGATCTGACGTATATTGCGCGCTCTCGCTGAGTATTGCCTGAACAGGCAATACGGCAAAAGATTTTTACACTTTTGCTGATGAACCTGACTAGGTTGGAAGACCAGGCAATGTCCGAAAATACCAGGCAATACTGGCAAGATCTTGTCGGTATTGCCTGGTATTGTGAGCGTTGCACCCGCTTGCAATGACGGCAATCGAGTGCCGTATCCTTTCATATTGCCCGGGATTGCGGGCGTTGCGCGAGGGGGCATCCTTGAGAATGCCGGGCAGCACAGGGGGACAACTTTTACATATTGCCAAATATCTGGCACATTGCCTCGGATTTTTTGGTGTTGGGCTATAGGGCTCGACACTCGGAGGATACACAGGCGAAAGATATATTGTAGAAGCAGACACATATTGACAAACAAGGCATACAAGACAACCGCACAAGGGAATGGGCACTGCGATGCATGTCATGGCACATTGGCACAGGCATAGCCGTAGACGAGGCCAGAGACACGGCGTGCGCAAAGACAAAGGGAGAAACAGCAGACGTCAGCGACACACTCCCGACACGATGATACCACACAACACTCACGATCTTGACCGTCTTCCTGCGCTTCTTCGTGCCCGCCTCTGACAGGCTCGCGAACGTCTGCCCGCCCTCGGACAGCTTCCGCTTCAGCTTCCCGTTGTCCTCCCTGTCCTCCAGCGTGATGAGCTGGTCTCACGAACCTGACCCGTCTTCTATCTTCACCTGACCATGATCGTTTCCGTTCGTTGATGCTGCGGTAGATGAGGGACCAGAGACAGTTGTGGATATGGAGTGTGGGCAGGGGAGGGTCGCGATGGAGAGTGTGGCGGAAATAGATGCAGAGGGGGCAAAGATGTTGATATTATTAGACTTGGCTGCTTGTTTGATGATCTGCAGAAGGATGTGTGAGTACAAATGGCAAGACACGATGAAGATAGCCTGAGAAAGGGTAATCGCCTTCTCCGAGAGCGCCTTCCTGTCCCAACTGTACAGCCGCACTTTTTGGTCCAGGTTCGGACATGCCATCTCTCAGCAAGGAAGACAGAAGAGCAGGAGGGGACGCACCTCTCCGCCAACGGCGACAAGCAAGCCGGACGCAGCGATCGCACTTGGGGAGTATTTGAGAGGGAGGTCAAACACCTTCTGGTTCGACGGCACGGCTTCAACGCTCTCCACTTCCACAACGAACACCGTCGAGTCGCCGTTGACCGCGACGCCCGCCTTGAGCTGGGCGGCGGTCGAGAACGATGAAGGCCTGCCTTGCCAAAACTGTTGAGTTCATCCGTGATCCTCTCGTCCGCACAGTAGAGTGATGGGTCAGGACTTACGTGTAGGCCTGGCCGTCAACTGTGCGCAGACGGTCGTCAAAGCCGACGGAGTGCACCATACCCAAGGGGAATGCCCTGAGGCCAGCAACAAGGCTCATGTGCGCGTCTCCGCAGACGTACTCGTTCGTGAACGAGAGCATGCACCCGTCGGCAGTGCCGACGATGGTCGTCGCATCGGACAAGGGCGCTTTGATCGCGGATGTGATCGCCTTTGGTCAGAGCAGAAAGGGTAAAGGTCAGACGGGGAGCGCAACAAGGGGTATCTTCGGCATCACACCACGCTCACCCAGCGAAGTTTTGGCCGCCTATGCGGCAGGCCTCGTTGAGCAATTAAACAGTCGTAATAGTGAAAATGACATGTCTCCCCAGATGATAAAGATGGAGGATGAGAACGACAAGACGCTTACGCGGGCGAGGATAGGCGAGACCACCCAAACCAATGCAGTAATGCATCGCACCACAGACGTAGTCTAGGCAGCTGAGCTCTGATGCTCTGTTCTCGCCTGATGCCTGGTGGAACACACCCCAGGCACGTGTATATGCGCACCATATGGCGCATACAGGACTTGCAGGGAGCTAGTAATGTTCTCGCGGAGGATAGGACAACAGAGGACGAAGGGGAACATACTTGTTCATTAAGGTTACCTGTCCACTTGACACATAGAAGCGCATCTGCTTTGTTTGGGCGGAGAATGTTTGCTCGTCTTGCGCGAGCTCCGAGTCGTCGATGACTGGGTAGCTCGTGTCGTAATATTCGGAAGCATGGTCCCGCCACCGAGGCGTTACAATGTCACAGAGACCCGTGTACTGTGAGCGGTTATGAGTCAGAGTGCCCCTGGCAAGGGAACAATAAGACTGCACGGAGAAAATGTGAGTGAAGGGGTGTATATATGCCCCCGGAATCCGTACGTACAGAGCCTAGTTGCCGCGGCGAGCACAGGCGGTGGTGGAGCATTGCAGCGGAACTCATGAAACGACTATCTTTGTCTTGCCCACTGGTTCTTGAGACATTGACCTTCATGAGAGAGAGGGGATGGTAGTGTGGCGAAGGGAAGATGGGCTTGACGTTTTTGCACGAGGACACTCCTTATGAGTAGCCTGAAGGTGAAGAGCTTGTGACGCGTATAGGCGTCTCCATGTTGCCGCGCTAAACACGTACTCGCGCTCCATGAATCCTCGTCCTCGCCCTCACCTCCTCATTTCTCGTTGCCCCCACTCGCTACACACTCCCGTCGACAGACTCCGTACGCTCACCGGGCCTCCTCATGGGAACTCCCATATCCTTCCCTGCTCACTTTCCTAACACTTCTCATCCACCATGTACGAGCTGCTCGTCCTACCCAGTGCGATCGAGTTCCGAAGGACCTTGCCCACAAGTTTCCATCCCGGGTATGGACCAGCACTGGCTGGGAGCAACATGAGCCTCTGTCCGTTCCCGTAGATGTGAGTAACACGAAGCCCGCCCGACCTCGGACGAGGGCCACATACACCATCGACCTCCCCTCTTTCCACTGTGGCTTCCCCCACTGATGTGCTGACTTCGTTCAGCGTGAACCCGATGTTCTACGTCGGCTTCTGCACCGCGACAAATGTCGCCTCTGTCATTCTCTTCCAAGGCTTCAACACGGACGATCCCGCCAACTCCATCTCCCTCCTCGCCGGCTTCATCGCCACCTTCTGAGGCGTTCACCTTCTTGAGATCTCCCACAAGCGCGACCCCAACGCTCTCCCCGGGGGCCACCACCCACACTCTGTCCTTGAGTCTGGCTTAATGAACCCACAACCAAGCATACACGGACGAATGTCGATCGACGGGTGGAACAGCACGGCAGGGACACCTATTGGGAGCACAATGCCCATCCCGTGGAACACCCTGGCGAACGGGCACCGAGGGCATGGCAGGCGGAGCTCGCTGTACCGCAATCAGACGCAGACGCTCTTCCAAGCGTTCGAGGAGGATGGGGACGAGGACCGCGCAGATGGGATGGGGCTGGACACGCTGCACGAGGCGAAGGACGACGAGCTCGACGCGGACGAGAGGACGACGCTGAGAAAGGGGAGGAGCTGGACTTCGGCCGCCATGTAGCTAGCACAATGTAATCTACTAACGCATCACTTTCAGTATGCTGAACCGTGTGGCTCAACTGTATCAGTTTCGTTTCTCTACTAATGGGTTTTCTCCTAGCGAGTACCTTACCTTGTTGCGCGAATACGTGAGGTCATGGAAGCTCGAGCGTATATTGCGCTGTCATGCAATCTCTCCGCAAGTCTTGCCCGGTATTGTGAGTATGGTGTGGACAAGCCCCCTTGGCTCCCTTATCGAGTGCTCGCGCCGTCTCGCGCCGTAACCGGCGCTTCAGGCGCCACCTACAATCCTGGACGACACTTTTACACTTTTGCTGATGGTGTTCTCATCGGCGGGGTCATGAAGTACATCGTAGACAGGACAACAGTGGTTTCGAGGATCCGAAGCCAGTGCCTCGGAGGAGAAGTACTGTCCGATTCCGACTTCATATGGGTGTATCAACTTGTGGATCCGCTTCAAAAGGACCATCTCCTTGTCACTGACGCGTGTTGCATCCAACACCACCGGTCTCTGAACTGATGTAAGTATTGAACACCATTGGGCACTTGTTAAAACCGGCACCTCGCAATCCCGGGAGTCCTCGAAATCTCCCGGACGCCTCTTCGTTCCTTGCCAGGAAGGTATCCAGTTAGGCTTGTATCGGGGGCGCAAAGTGTACCCAGATTGTTGCAGCCAGTCAAAATGGTCCCGCCAGTATAGCTCATACTCGTTCAGCAGGTAAATATCCTCTGGGTTACCCACCATGGGGAGCTAGAGGGAAGAAGAAGAGATGATGTGGAGGTCGAGACAAGGCACGATTCAAGATTTGAGATGCGAAGGAGGGAAAGCTCAAAGGGAACAACAAGATGAAGCCCAATTATGTGTCGAAAGCAGGGCGCTCGAAGGCACCTGGATGACGCGCGGGCATGATTATTGTTTGATGGAGCTTGATCGGGAGCGTCTTGTCTGTATTGTGCGAGTCGTTTCCCTTGCTAGCACGACGGGCATTGGCCAATGCCGCAGTCCCAAACAGGACCGGAGACAGGCTTGGAAATGTACTCCTGTCACGGTCACGTCCCAAAGCCTAGTTCCGGACCCGAGCCAGCCCGCGCTCTGATACCAGAAACAGGATATCGGCGCTCCCGACCATCCAAAAAAGGAGCAAACACGCTGATGTCATATAGTTTGTCAGCACTGATATCCCTTTTCGGGGCTTAGCGCCGGCTAGCTGGGGTCCGGAGCTAGGCTTTGGGACCAGGATCGGGAAAGGCGTACATTCTCGGTCCATTTCTTTGTCCCGATTTGGGTCCGGGGCATTGGCCAATGCCCGTCGTGTAGGCTGCCCACAGTTCCTCCGAGGCCTCCCTCGTTCCCGGGCCATTGGCGTCCACCTCCGTGCCCATGACAGAAGAGCAAGAGTCTGTTCCTCCAACACTCAAAATCCCCCCTGACCTACCTGCGCCTGAAGCATGGTGGCGAGATCGTCAACAGTGGTTGGCGGAACGCGGCTACATGCTCCGGCCTCGGTACCGGCCTGGCTGGCAGCCGTCGTGGATCGTGAATCCGCAGAAGCTGAAGTATGAATACGAGGACATGAAGCCAGCCTCTGTGCGTCTCGATGTCTGACCTACATTGCCAAACGCTAACTCATGTGCTCAGTCTAGCTTCATACTGGACGCCGTCCGTACGGCCGATAACTCCCTCGTCGTGATGAAGAAGGTCAAGAGCTCGCGCAATCCTCATGAAGTCGAGATCTCCCAGTATCTCTCTTCCGAAGCACTTCGTTCCGACCCTCGCAATCATTCTGTGCCCATCCTCGACTCTTTTGGCGTTCCCGACGAGCCAGAGATAACTATCTTGGTATTACCTCTCCTCCGTGCGTGCAACGACCCATCCTGGCAAACAGTTGGAGAAGTGCTATCTTTTATCAAGCAAATATTTGAAGTAAGCTATTTGTAGTGCGTCCTGACTTCGACTCACCCGGCGTTATAGGGTCTGCAATATCTTCACGAGTTGCACGTCGCGCACAGGTATGTCAAGTCCAGTCTCGTTGGGGATAGCTACTAACGTCATCAGAGACTGCATTTTATTGAACATCACGTATGATTCTCGGCCATTGTTTCCTCAGATGTTCCACCCCCGTAACCCTTATAAGGCCCTTGACTATCAAGGTCCACCCAAGCACTCGACACGTACGGCGCGTCCGGTGAAGTACTGCTTCATCGACTTTGGTCTGTCCAGGCGATATAACCCCGAAGACGGCCCACCTCGTGAAGACCCCATACGAGGTGCAGACAAGTCCGTCCCCGAGTTCAAAGATTGGAACGGGGAACCGTTAGATCCATTCCCCACCGACGTGTACTATCTGGGGAATGTGATACGAGAGGCTGTTTTGAAGGCACGTACGCTGTCCTCCCACTGCCCCGTTGGTTTTTCTAACATTTCCCATATGCAGCGATATCATGGGATGAAGTTTCTGGATCCTCTGGTCCAAGATATGATTCAGGCCGACCCTTCGAAGAGGCCGACGATACAGGAAGTAGTCCGGCGCTTTGACGAGCTTTTGAAGCGTACCCGATTCTGGACATTGTGGTTGCGACCGGTGCCCGTTAACGAGGAAACTGCTGTAGGGTGGTATCGTAATACACGTCAGTTGTTTCGGACGGTTGGTTATGTCCTTTCGCGCAAATCCGCAATACCCATCCCGTCGTGATCCTGCACTTCACTGTTTCATCTCCGCTTTCGGTTTGCTATCGATGTCATTTCATACCTTCATGACGCTGTGTGACTGCAATCCTGGCATCCCAATGACCAAGCCAGTCTCAACATCTCAGCGCAGAGGCTATCATATCTCACTAGTCCCATCTTCTGCGACCATAGACGCTTCTCCGAGTGGTCAGAGTCGGCGACGACGGAATGGGTCTTCCTATATTGGGCTGGCTCTGGGTGACTTTTACGCTATCCGTCGGCATGAGATGGTATCCGGGCCAAATTGTTCTTGTGCTGCGACCACAACCTCAGTTGTGGCCCATCACATACGAGGTCGTTTGACTTGAACATACGGACCAACAATCGTTTATGGAAAGGCCGCGGAGAACTATTGGTCGTTGTCCTTGTCCGAAATAGGCAATGTTGCCGGGCAATTGCGGCGTTTCCCACGGTTATCCCAGCGATTAGCCCAGCGAAAGACTGCAGCGACTTCGACCGGCTCTGCGGCTTGACTCTCCAGCTCTACATACCGTCCTCTGCACATATACAGACCTGATTGAAGGCGCATCACCCACAATGCTGCTGGGCACATAATTCTATGAGTGCCGAATTTAACCCCTGGGCCCTATCAGGCGTTTTCTTAAGTACGGGCGACACATTCAAGCGTCATGTTCACGGTACGTCTTCTGACAGGCTGTCGTTGTCCCCACCGACCTACCGGCCCATCGAATAGGCACAATTCTTTTTTCGCCGGTCCCCTGGAGCTTGTCTATGAGTGCCTCGGAACACATGCAATCCTTCTCCCACGCTGTCTAGATCTCCAAGGTTTGAAACGGGATGCGTTGCTAGACGGGACTAACACGTCGACTCAACAAGTGCGTTCTCGTGTCTGTGACGTTGGACCATCCCCCTTGATCTCCCTCTTCCGTCACAGCCTTGTCGAAGGCAGAGCAAGGACAACTCTGTCACTGGGACAACGCTACTATCTTCGGCCGACCATTGTCCTTCGTTGCCTTGGTCGTGGTATGCATCCCCGATGCCCATGAACACACCGAGTGCGCTATTACGTGGGCTCGTTCCCTAGCACCCCAATGTCAGTTTCTCGCGCGCACTCAGTGCATTACGTCCCCCTTGCGTCGTCCCAGTCATGCCAGTCTCCTCAACCTCAACGTAAGACGTCAACGCTGCTGCGTTCACTTCTGTGGTTCTGATCGTCTAGAATCGACCCAACGATCTTTCCCCGCAGATTCGCACTATACTCGACTACGATTTTACGTCTAACCTATCACCTACTGGCAGCGAGGTCGAACAAATTCTCCGGTGATGCGTTTCGTCCCACTTTCCCCGTGTGCACAGTGCTAATTGAAGGTCGCGCAGTGCAGAAGATCGGATACCGAAGAACGTGACGCTCACGATCGCCAAATGCGTCGAGGTTGACCGAGCCGTGAATCGGAAACAGAGTACAAAGGCCTTCCTTGACCACGTATGGTAATGACGGTATATCGGACGCTGCACAGCTTCCAAAATGTCGCGTGCTAATGCGTGTCGCTATGAAGGCGCAGGCAAATTGGTCCCAGTAAGGCGAGTCTCTGAGTTCGCTCTTCGGATGCATGTTATTCGGACGTCATGTCGTGTAGCAGATTAACCTCCTGATGAGAAGGGTTGTTGAGTTTATTCATGCGTGTAGGAGAGCATCAGAAGACGGGCAGTCATACGTGTTCCGTCCCAGTCACTTGCCAAGAACCTCTGACCGGTTGTGGGTTGTAGGGAATTCGTCACACCTCCGCAGCAGCTGTATTGAACAGGTTTCGAGAGCGTATCCAGAGGCGGTCTCATAGAAAGGCACGCCTTGTCTCCATGTAGGGCTTGGCGGGTCAACTTAACCGCGGGTCTAGAGGTCCGCTATTGTGCAGAACCGCGTCTATAATCGCACTTAGCAGACGACTCCTTGTTCATCGCCATGAGGTCGCTTACGATGTCCATCAACGTGTGTCCTACTTGACAGCCGTCTAGACATACCGGGTGCAACCCCGCCCCAAGCTATCGATGTGGAGATAATGGTAACGTACTACCGGACCGGATAAGTACCATCTGCCACTCATAACAGTCATCCCTGAAACAGGCACAGTGCGCCAGTGCGCGATACATAGTACCCAGACGCATGCTCATCTGTTTCATGACCTTGCATAGGTCAAAATGTGTCCACGATGTCGAAGACGAGAAGGGGATATACAATGCCATCTGCCGCGCACGAGCGCTATGCAAGAAGACGAAGCAAGAGGACGCGCCTGGTCGTGTGTATTGGAGGAGACATCCCAACGGCCTGGAGCAGGCAAGCCGCTCTGTCGCTACTACATGAAAGTCCTTGTTCGTTGGATAAAAGACATGCGGAGGCAAATGTTGACACATACATCGATTATCATCACCACGTTACGTATGACTGGTTCAACCAGCCACTCGGTACGAGAGCGTACCATAGCGCGATGGAAATACCTAATCGGATTTGGCTAATACATTCCAAGGCAATTGGCTAATACATTCCGAGGCAATAACAAGTCCGTAGGTAATCATACCCGCAAGGAATACGATGGGGCTACAGCAGCAGCCCTTGACGGGGGTCGGGTGGCGAGCACAAGCGTCTGTGCAGACTGCGCCATAGATCATCAATCACCGGCCGTCGCCAGTAGGAGGTCGTTACGCGGGAGCAACAGTCTCGTCTTGAGCCTTGGGGAACACTTGCAATGGAATGGCTTCTGCTGGCATTGCAGGAAGAGAGACGTCTTCGTCTGCTAAGGCAAGTGGATGTGAAGACGGTGACCGTAAGTACACGTCCGCGGGGTAGAGTCCGTATACCCACCATGATCGGCAATGGGCACATGCTCAGGCTCTTGCTCAGAAACCGGCGGGTTCTGATCATTTCCAGCGACGTGCACCCCGACCCATCCCTCCAGCTCCAGTAGTGACTGTGCATGCAGCGCTGTAGACAGGCGTGGATGTTGGAGAGGTTACTGAAAATACTGCGTTCGAACATACCAGGATCAGTGAAGGCCCCATGTTGATGTGCTGCATGTAGGTCAGATGTACGCTAGGAGGACCCACTATCAGTAGAGCATCATGCTGGGGCAAATGTGCAGATCTCACCTTGATATCATAATATAGATCAGTCGCGTCCCGCTCCAGGGCGGATGCGCTAGGAATGAGCTTCAAACGTGTAAACCAGCCGCCTTTCTGATAGGCATTCCATAATCCAATGCTGCTGTTTGCAATACTAGCGGCGAAAGTCGTGAGAATGCTCAAGAAGGTAGTCGATGAACTCACTCATCCACAGGAATCTGAAGTTCTGCCTTCCGTTGAACAGGTAGAACGTCCCGCCGAAGCTCGTTTCGGCTCCTTGACACTGCATCATCTACGCGTCTGAGGGTCGGAATAACTTGCTTGTGACCGAGCGACTGAGCGATACCAGCGCATGGCATGCCAGATGTTGTCGCGACGTTCGCGGTATCCTGTACCACACGTTCAGCGGTCTTAATCACCCAAGACATGACCAGCGCAGGAAGTGCAAGAGGGAATGCAGCGAGGGTTTCGGGGACAAGGAATATGAGGTTGGGGTGCTGCCCTGACTAAGTGGAGGCTCGCGTTTATATCCTTGCAAAGTCGTGTCGCGTGGGAACAGCCCATACTCCCCAGTCAGGGTGTTGTACCGGGATTCCAGCTTCAAATTGGACCGATACGGCGAGGAAGAAGTGCGTCCACAGAACAACAACCACTGGCGGCAGTGACTATGTCAGCGGGAAGCGATTATTGCTACCGTTCCAGAGTTTCGGTTCCTTGTCTCAACGGGGCAGATTCAATGACAGATCGGTCACGGGCGCTTGACGCATCCTTGCATGGTTGTCTCTTCCCGATATCCGTCCCTCGCCCTCTTCCTATGTACCTCACATTCCTCCAGTCCTGAGTCCCTGCAATGACTACTCCTTCAGAATCTGCTCCAACTGAACCGCCGCCGCCCGCGCCAGGCCACCTCAGTGAACGCGAGATTTGGTGGAGAGACCATCAGGTATGGCTACGGGAACGAGGTTATATGCTCCGGCCTCGCTACAGACCTGAGTGGGTCCCGTCTTGGTCTAGTGGGCAGAGACAGTACTACGAGTGCGAGGATGGCCAACGTCTTCGTGTGCGTCTTCCCTCTCCCTTCAGAACGTTTTCCTGAACACTTGCACAGCATGGACAGCTCATCGACGCTACGCGGGTTGCAGATGGTGCCGTGGTCGTCCTCAAGCAAGTGTTGCGCACCGAACACCCTTATGAAGTGGAGATAGCTCAATTCTTGACATCTGAGCACCTGTTGTCGGACCCGAAGAACCACTGTGTCCCTATCTATGAAGTGCTACAAGACCCAGACGACTGCAATATACAAGTGTTGGTGATGCCTCTACTCGGCAAATTCTATGACCCGCGCTTTCTGACAGTGGGAGAAGCTGTCGAGTTTTGCCGGCAAACATTCGAGGTGAGTTGCTCGTAGTATAAACTGGTTAGCGTAACTGACAATGTAGCCATGGTCAGGGTCTACAATTCATCCATGAACAACATGTTGCCCATAGGTGAACCTCATTCTCGACTTGGTAAATTCATACGCCACTCACTAGTACGACCATAGGGACATCTCAGAACTCAACATCATGTTGGATCCTCAACCGCTGTTCCCACAACTCTTCCATTTCGTTCGTCGGTCGCAGAACCGCGACATGACGGGGACCGCGAGGCACTCTACTCGCACCCGGCATCCTGTGAAGTACTTCTTCATCGACTTTGGTCTTTCTCGAAAGTACGACCCATCCGCCGGACCACCGCGGGCGCGTCCGATATGGGGTGGAGACCGATCGGTCCCTGAGTTCCACAAGTCGCTGGAACCATGCGACCCATTCCCGACGGACATCTACTACATGGGCAACATCGTTCGTAATGTGCTGCTACAGGTGAGGTCTTTCCCTATGGTCCAATGGCGTTCCTAATCCTTTTTGCGGGATGCAGGAGTATCGTGGTCTGGAATTCTTGCAACCGCTTATCGACGATATGGTCCAAGATGAGCCGGCTAAGCGGCCAACGATACAGCAGGTGGTGTGGCGGTTCGAGCTGCTGAGGGGATCGCTCAGTACATGGCGTTTGCGCTCACGGCTCGCTACGAGGAACGAGGACTGGCTCGTTCGTTCGCTCCGAGTGATCGCACACGTTTTCCGGACCGTCCTCTACGTTCTGACGTTCCGCCCTGCTCTTCCCGTGCCATAAATACATCCTCGCTTCTTGATGTTTGCCTATCTCTTCGAGGTCTGCGTTTCCCGTCCGCTCTCAGTGGCCCGCACATAGCGTATCGGAGCACGAGGCGCGTTCGAGGCCCCAGTCTTCGCTTTTTGCATACTTGTACTAGCGCGGGGACGTGTATGGTTCTTGCATCTCTTGGTCGGCTTCGTTGTTCCATGTCGTTGATTCCCAAACAGCGCATACACCTGCCTCGCTCTGCCTCCGTATATATATCATTACTAAAGGCTTGCTTATACGTGGACGAGATGTACTGTATCATTTGCGCACTACTAGCATCGTTCTTCTTTCAACCTCAGCCGCCTGGAGGGCCGCAAATTGCCTGCGGGCAGTGCACCTCTCGCAAAGGTGAGGCATTAGGCGTCTGTAAAGCTGGACGAGGGCACTCACATCAGTCACAACCAAGCATCATCGGCGGGCCTCGTGGAGAGAACAATGGACAGAGATACTTGGGGTCCCCTCGCCGCCAGGTAAGAGCCGTAAGTCTGCTGGGTGGCAATCAAGGTACCGTGGCGTTCCTTGAGAAATTGCCCTGCAAAACGTAATCCCTCAAACGCCGACGGTTGCTTGTTTGACCGCGCCTCGTGCTTCTGCTCAAGAGCTGTTGTCCCCCACAATGGTGACTGTCAGTCGTCAGTGATCGATGACCTCCGGGGGAGGTTCAAGATGCCTCTGTGGAATGAGCCATCGGATCGCTAGTCGTGCAATCCAGTCGGGTCTATTCCTGGTCGGTGACGGTGCCGATGGGTCGAGAATCATTCCACTGACACGCCCTTCGTGGACGTTGGGCGAGTAGCTTGAGAGGCAAGCTCGAATCGTTCTCAGTGCCTGGACAGTAGGCGCATCCAAGAGTGGTCTTCTGTGATCAGCGCTGAGCCACAGAGATAATGTCAAGGGAGCCTGCATTGCTGCCCGCCAGGGGAGAAGCTCTGGAGCGGCCCTGGTATCCAGGGTGGAAACAATGAAGGCCGTTTTCGTCCGGAGAATTGTGCAGCTGAGGGATGCGGGCATAACAACTCGGGGAGCCGAAGACGAGGTAGGGCTCCGGGCCCAGTATCCGCGAGGTTGCACGTTGTTCTTGGTTCGATCTCACGGTAGCGACAGTTGCATAATGAGCGCGATGCGTGGATGACGCGACGACAGATCCCGGATTTCTTCCCGGTGCGCGGAGCCCTTGACGTATACGGAGGCGGATGCGGACACACGACGATCTCTGTCATCAGGTTCCTCAATGTTATGTATGGCCGCTTCAATTACCCACTCGTCACGAGAGCGTACAATAGCGCAATGAACATTATCCCTGGTTAGCCCAGATCACGGGAAGGACATCTGACCGAAAGCGTACAAGCAAACCGACTGTAGTGTGCGAGAAGGAGCGATCAACTATGGGCGATGTGATGATGAACGCCGACTATCCAAGGCAAGCATGATAGCAAATGACACGAAAATGACAATTCTGAGTCATGAGCTAGGAGGCAGAGGTATAGCCGACTTGCGGAGAAGAGCGTATCTGAACGATCGGAGACCGTGACCGGCGTCGCGCAGTCACCTGGTCACCCAGCCCTCAGGCTGGCCGCGCAGCGGCAGGCGGGAACGCAATTTCGCGTTGTCGAGCGGCTTCAGAAGCTCATCGAAACGACACACGACTTCCTGGATTGTCGGTATCTGAAGCGGATCGGCGGCGATCATGTCGTCGACGAGAGGCCCCAGAAACTCGGCCCCTTTGAATTTGTAGAAAGTCACAATTGTGAGCGAGCCCCTCTGAGACAAGGTGCGGAAAATACCTCCAGGATGATGTTGCGAATCATGTTTCTGACGTAGTAGATGTTGGTTGGAGATGGATCCACGAGGTCTCCTTTCCAGTTCTGGAACTCCGGGACAGTCTTGTCTCCTCTGCGAATGGGGCGTTCGCGGGGTGGACCATCTTCGGGGTTGTATCGCCTGGAGAGTCCAAAGTCGATGAAATAGTACATCACAGGACAGGCGGTCCTCGTTGAGTGCCTGGCCTTGCCCTTGAAGTTGAAACTCTTGTCTGTTTCTTGCGGATGGAACATACGCGGGTACATGTATCGAGGGTCGTACACAATGTTTTGTGCCACACAATCCCTACCAGACTCAGGTCAATGAGAACGTGAGAATGTGGCCAATTCACCGACATACCTATGCGCTACATGCAGTTCATGCATATATTGGAGCCCCTACGATGGTCTCAGCCCAGTGAGCAGACAGAGATTCGGCTTATCGCTCACCTCAAAGACCTGCTTCAGAAATGCAACAACTTCTCCAATGGTTTGCCACGCAGGATTGTTGCATCTCCTCATCAGTGGCATCACCAGGACAGTCGCCTCGGGATCGTCGGGGACAGAGAAGATTTCCAGGACAGGTACAGTGTGGTTGCGAGGATCTGAGCGCAATGTCTCGGACGAGAGATACTGAGCGATTTCTACTTCCAGGGGGTTGAAAGACTTGACTACCCTCTTAAGCATGACGAGCTGATTATCAGAGGTGGACACCGCATCCATCAAATAGGGATTCTGAACATCATAGTGAGAGCTGGACGGAACACAGAATGATCGTGAAGACTTACCATTGGCCCATGATAATCCTCAAAATGCCATGGAAATACATCCCGGTGTGCGTTCCATGATGGGGTCCAGCCAGGCGCATAGTGACGACGGAGCATGTATCCTCGTTCGGCCAACCAAACCTGACAGTCGCGCCACCACTCTTCGACTGTGCAGAGTTTCTCTGGGACCTCAGTCGGGAACTGATAATGGGTCTAAGAGACCAAGGGTACCATCATCCATCGAACGTAGAGGATGGCGGAGCACACCACACAAAGATAAAAGCCCAAGGGGTAGAAGGGAGCTGGACGGGAAGAGAGGATCAACAGGTGTGAAAATCATACGTCCTGCACCTCAGGCCCCAGTGCTTGTGGTACCGCACAGCCATGCCCGCCAGCAACAGTGGGCCGCGGACAGAGACGTTCCCGCCGCAGGACCTGGGATAGAAAGGCTGCGGAAAGCTCTTGTTTTGTTGTCCGTGTCTCAAGGAAGCGGCAGCGACAACGTTCAAACCGCGATCTGATTACTATATCGTGTTCAGTAAGCAACACAGTCCTCTTAGGTCAAAGGCAGACCATAGCCAACAAATTTGAGCAAGTGGTCCTGAGAAGCTCTAAGTCTGTCGCGCAGCCAGAACGCCAGTTTTCCAGTATGGTTGCACCGTGGTCAGGCCGTGTATGGCGCCACAGTGTATCGGCTCAACTACGCGTCGAACTTTGTGCGTTGCGGATTTTCCCGAGAGATTTCGCTTACAGGTACGTCCAAGCGCGCCTCCGGAGGCTTGTCGTCGTGCTCCCCGTGCACGTCGCGCCTAGGGGTCTGTAGCGAGGCCGGAGCATATAACCTCGTTCCCGTAGCCATTCCTGGTAGTCTTGCCACCAGACCTCGCGTTTACTAAGATGTCCTGGCGCGAGCGGCGGCGGTTCGGTTGATTTCGAAGTGGCCATTCGGGATCAAGGGGCGTGGTGACTAGACGCCCGTGGGCAATCTGCTGATGTTGAATCTATGTAGTACGCCCGGGCCGGTGTTCTTTTAATGCCTCCAAGTTGAGGTCAGCGCCCATGCTCCTCGTCTGTTTCTTCTTCAAACTCTTCTAATGATCATCGCGGCATCCACAGATCAGGTTACTAGCATTTGCTGTACGCAGTACCTAAGATGCCGCCCACATCGCAATGAGATCTGGCGCGGGGACCAGGTATGGGGTCACCGTTGTAACTTCTGTATTTCATCAATTGGGTCCGTGTCCTTCGAGTTTGCTATTATGTGTGTTTCTCGTCTCGATCGTCTCCCCTCTTGATCACAACACTCGCTGTCATGCCCTCTGCGAAGCGAACAAAGTAATGTAGTACTGAGGAAGCGGCAACATGGCAGCTCCGTATGAGAGAGCCAATGGCTACCGGATGCGAGCGCAAGTCAGGAGAGACACCGTCTGATATGAGCCATCGTTTTCCGTCCTGATAGTGAGGAGTATTGGATGGTGGACAGAGTGCATAGTATTATGTGCAGTCAGAGCAAAAGTCAAACATCAGCACAAGTACGCAAGAGCCCCAATATTCATACAATATACTAACTAGCCCATCACAGTCGACTGCGGGTCAAAGGGCCAGGAGAGATAGGAAAGGCAGAGAACAGCTCGTCTATTCAACATAACCACGGAGCTTGAGCGGCCTCCGAGCAGATGATCAGGGCGCCACCGGGGTGCGCTGCTTACGAACTGGTACGAAGCGCCGTCGCATCGTTGCTAGGACAGTCCGCAGCCGTGAACCGGCGGCGTCGGTCTTCTTCTGCTCGAACTGCGACGGAGGGGGAGGCCGAGGGATCGCAGGATGAAGCCAAAGACCTCCATAGAACATGCGGAAAGCATATTGCACTTCCCTGAGAAAGGCGATGAATCCGTTGTCTTCTCGTTGGCGCAGCCGCTGTCGCAGCCGCAAACTAGGCAGCTGCGAAATGATGGTGTCCAGTTGGCGTACTGCTTCGTCCATGGTGATACGCTGGTCAGGCTTGTCGACCACCATGGATGCGACCAGTGGCTCCATGAACGTCAGGTTTGAGTAGATCTGGGATGTGAAGGAATGAGGGAAGTCAGCGCCTGGATTCGGCATTGTAGGCAAGCACAAACCTGCAGGAAATCCTCTCTGATTAAATTCCCCAGGGTGTAAACGTCCGTATGGAACGGATTACGCGGAGTCGTCTCATCCTCGAGGTACTCTGGGACTGTAGTGTCGCCGCCGACTATGGGAATCGCAAGAGGGTTTGCGTCGTTAGCATCAAACTGACACGACAGGCCAAAATCAGTCCAATAATATCTTGTCGGACGGACTGTCCTCGAGTAGTGTTTGGCAGGTCCAACGACGTTGCGGTCGTATTCACGAGCGATGGGATGGAACATGTCTGGATACATGTTACGAGGGTCCATCATGATGTTGAGCGTCATGCAATCACTGAGAAAGGTTAGTCGAAGCAGGGGGAGAAGTATGCAGGTCAACCTACCGATGGGCTACGTGATGCTGGTGCATGAACTGGAGACCCTGCGGAGAGAATGAGAAAGAGATGAATGGTTCTAGTGAAGACTCACACCTCAAATGCTTGACGAAAAAAATCGACGGCCTCCCCTATGGTAAGTTGAGGGGGAATGTTATGTTCCTTAAGCAAGGGCATTACGACGATCTGAATGTCGGAGTCGACGGGGTCTTGCAGCACCTCAAGGATGGGACAACAGTGGTTGCGGGGTTCTGTAGCAAGGGATGGAGAACACAAGTACTGTCCGATAGGAACCTCGAAGGGATGGACTGTGCGCGACACGCGTTTCAACATGACCATTTCGCCGTCAGACTTGCGCACGGCATCGAGGACATAATTAAGCTGCAGACGGGCGGTGAGTGCGGAAAGTGACGCGGTCGCAAACCCATAATACCTTCTGCATCCAGCCGTCTTCGAAATTCAGCGCATATTTATTCGTCCCTCTCCAAGACGGCACCCAGCCAGGCTTGTACCGCGGCCGCAGGACATAGCCGGCTTCTAGAAGCCAATCGTAACGATCGCGCCACAATGTCTCCCCGTCCGTCAACCCGCGGTCATAGCGAACTTTCGGAGACATATCCTACGGACAAGAGGTGTACTGCAAAAGAGGGCTGCCGGGGAGTAGGGGAGCAAGCGAGCGAGGCCGAAAGGGAGGAGAAACGAGCCAAGAAACCCCCGCAGGCCACCCAGTCCACGTGGCAGTGCAAGCGCCAGACCGTGGACGTTCGCACAAAAGCGGTGGCGGCAGCACTGTGTCTCTTCGACCATTTACAGACAAGGGCTATTGTTCGCCAGGCGTCAGGACGCCAAGGCCATGTCTTCTGTCCGTCGGGCTGTGCATGGGACACTGTCTGCTCTTGTATGTTCCCCATCGACCGTGAGTAAAGAGCGCTGTCAATGCCGTACAAATGGGATTGAGATTAATGTGCAGTTGCCAGGTTTTCCTGCGCGGCGTTGTGCCGGAAGTGGGGCGGTGTCCAAAAACCTTCCCAAGTGCATCTATCGGTGCTGAGCTAGGAGAGATAAAAAGTGCTGACCGTGTTGTTTATGGCCCACCCACTATCTAGTCATTCGTACTGGCGAGGACTTGAATAGCTTCTCGCCTCCTAGCTGTCTCATAATGGCTGCTGCCGCTGCTATAGTCGCTCCTACTGTCCCACCTGCGGGAGAACCTGTCGAGGTACTCGCGACTCACTCTCCTTATGCTCTTCCCACCTCCGCTGCACAAAGTGTGTTAGAGTTTACGCTTCTCCTTCACGCGTTAGGCGCTGTATACCGGCATCTCCCGCTCATACATACTTGTACACGTCACATATTCAACTCCCTCACTCGTTCTATCATCTCCCCGAGTGAGGGTACGTTTTCTCCCGTGTTACCTACATCATAGCATACTCACAGTAACCTGTAGCGCCTCATACTTGGGCTACAGGTAATGTATCCCACTCGTTCTATCATCTCCCCGAGTGAGGCGCCTCATACTTGGGCTACAGATTCTAACAGGTTATGAGCCCCTGCGCCTGAAGTTTTTCTGCCAGGCCTCTGTAGTCACCCCTTTTTGCGACCCCTCGCCTTCCCTCGAGTCACCTCTAGTCTCAGGATCACTCTTTTTCAGCCGACACGACCTCGGCCGGCGTTTTGTGGCGCATATACCACCTTATTGTTGTCGCGGTGCGCATATAGCCACCCGTTGTCCTTGTACTATGACCGGATCCGAAGATACCCCGTCCCCCGGGTCCCCTCCCACTTCCCCGGGGGCCAACCAAGCTACATCGTCCCCATCTTCCAAGCGGTCGAACCCCCCCATATCTCTCGTGCAGATCCCTTCCTGGGTCTACGGTCGTCTCAGCACCCTCGAACGTCTCAGCATCGCCAAGTGCAACTGGCCAGAATGGTCCCGTCGCATCCTGAACGTGCTGTGTCTCTGCGGTGGTTCCCCCCCCCTTAAGAGTTACGTGGATGGCAAGCTCTCCTGTCCCGACGCTGGCGCTTTTCCTCTCGACTATGCGAACTGGTCGCAGACGAACAGCCTCGTTATTGCCTTGGTGGAGGACTATGTTGAGGACGCCGACCTTCACCTCATTGCGTCGTCCTCATCTGCTCGCGGTCTTTGGCTCGCGCTCGAGAACCGCCACGTCAAACGAGGAGCCTACGCCCAGCTAATGACCATTCAGGAGCTCTTTCGTGACGACCTAGATCCTGCGAACACCACGAACGACATTGAGAACCAAGCTCGTCGGACAGCCGCTGACGTGTCCCGCATGTTTCAGATGGGACCGCTCTCTGAAGACACCTTCACCGTTGTCGTCCTTCTACATAAGATGAAGGCGAAGATGCGCCCCCTCATGAACCAGATCGTCAACAACCAGTCAACCTCGTCGGTTCCTCTCACCGCTGACCGTGTCCTTGACAGGATCAAACATGAGGCCATGCAGGTCCGTGCTGACCGCGCCTCCGGTACTGCACCGCTCTCCATTGCTCTTGCCGCAACGTCCTCGCAAGTCTCTTCACGCGTCTGCTCCAACTGCAAATGCAAGGGCCATCTCGTGGACCGCTGCTGGCAACCGGGGGGTGGCCCTGCAGGAGGAGTTTGCTTCGATCCGTGGCCACGATGTCTTCGAACTTGTGCCGCGCTCCGCCGTCCCAGCGGGACGCAAAGTCCTCACGGGCAAGCCTGTGTTTCGTCTGAAGCGGGACGAAAAAGGCGACCCGGTGCGTTTCAAGGCGCGATGGGTTGTTCGCGGCTTCGAAGCTGTCTTCGGGCAAGACTTCTTCAAGACGACATCGCCTACCATGCGGATCGAATCGTTTCGTCTCATCCTGCATGTAGCCGCCTCTCTCAACTGGGATACCGCCCAGGTCGACGTCAAAACAGCCTTTCTCTATGGCCTCCTACCCGAAGACGAAGCATGCTTCATGGAGCAGCCGCGCGGTTTTGAAGAGAAGGGCAAAGAAGACTGGGTCTGGCGCCTGCGAAAGGGTCTTTATGGGATGCCTCAAGGCGGCCGCACCTGGAACAAGACGATGGACGCGCACCTCACCTCCGTCGGATTTTCCAGGCTAGCATGTGAGAGTTGCATTTACTATCGTGTATCCCCCGCCGGCGTTGTCATCGCGGGAGTCCACGTAGACGACTTCATTGCCGCCGTCTCGTCAAAATCCGCAGGTGACGCGTTTCGTGCGGACCTGCGAGCTGCCTGGGAAATCTCTGATCTTGGTGAGGCCCGTTTTTGCATCGGCATCGCGATTGACCGCGACAGGAATACCCGCTCCATTCACCTCTCCCAAACCGCCCTCATCGACAAGATCATCTCGCACTTTGATCTGGCGCGTGAACTGCCAGTCAGCACGCCTATGGAAACTGGTGTTCGTCTGAGTCGACATTCCGAACCGGACGATCACGCAAGTGTCTCCCACCTCCCGTATTGTGCTCTCGTCGGCTCCTTGAACTATGTCGCCACTGGTACGCGCCCGGATATCTCTTGCGCTGTCCAGCAACTGTCCCAATATCTCGACTGCTTCACCACCGCTCACTGGACCGCTGCTGTCAGGGTGGTACGCTGCCTGAAAGGATCTCGTGCTTTGCGTCTTACCCTGGGTAGCTCTGATTCTTCTATCCGTCTCTTGGGTTGGTCCGACTCTGATCACGCTCGGTGCCCTGACACTCGTCGTTCTGTTGCCGGTTACGTGTTCTCCCTGGGGTCTGGCGCTGTCACTTGGGCTGCTAGAAAACAAGCTACCGTTGCTGACTCAACGACGGAAGCTGAGTACATTGCTGCCGCTGACGCTGCAAAGGAATGTGTTTGGCTCCGCAATCTCCTGCGAGGCATTGATCTGGGCCAAAAGGACGCATCATCCCTGTTCGTGGACAACTCTGGGGCTATCACACTGTCGGGCGACCCATCTTTCCATGCGCGGACGAAGCACATCGATATCAAACACCATTACCTGCGCGAACGCACAGCTGCCGGCGACATCTCGGTGCACTACGTGCCTTCTGCCGACAATATCGCAGATATCTTCACCAAACCTTTGCCGGGCCCGCAGTTTGCTCGTTTGCGTTCTTTCCTCGGTCTCACGTGAATATTTGTCATCAATGCGAGGAGGAGTACTCTTCCGTGCTTCCCCTATCCCTTCTCTCGCTCTCTTCCTCCTTCCTTTGTTACGATACCTTACATTACTAAACCTTACTCGTTTACATACTTACCCATATGTTTCGATCCCGTCTATACAGCGAGGAGGAGTGTTAGAGTTTACGCTTCTCCTTCACGCGTTAGGCGCTGTATACCGGCATCTCCCGCTCATACATACTTGTACACGTCACATATTCAACTCCCTCACTCGTTCTATCATCTCCCCGAGTGAGGGTACGTTTTCTCCCGTGTTACCTACATCATAGCATACTCACAGTAACCTGTAGCGCCTCATACTTGGGCTACAGGTAATGTATCCCACTCGTTCTATCATCTCCCCGAGTGAGGCGCCTCATACTTGGGCTACAGATTCTAACAAAGTGTGCCCGAAGACCGTCGCGGAGTCATGGCTGTCATCTTCGGCGGCTTCAGTAGAACGAAGACAAAGTTTTTTGACAAGACGAAACCGGCACGGGACTGGATCTCCACGAAAACGTGCAAAGCCGCTGGATACGCTGTTGTGTACGGCGTTCCCGCTCTCCAACTCGCTGGGGAGGTTGTCGGTGATGTCGTCGAGGCTGCTGGAATTCCGGAGGACCCAATCCAGTACAACCCGATCAAGACAGCCACGCCATGGTTTCTCAAGATGTTCGCCGGCATGTCTCCCGACTATCACCTCGCCAGGGGGAATAAGTACCTTGACGACGCTCTGGATCTGTTGGTCAATTATGAGGAATTCATACCGCCCAACCTGATGACCGACTTGGTGAAAAATTGGTTGACGTGAATCGTCATAACGCAATACTTGTCTTTTGACATTACCTGATACATCCCTTTTGACATGACCAGGTTGGACAACGAGGGCGGAGGTTTTCACATTGTGAATCAAGTACCCCACGTCGCAGACGCTCGCCAATGGAAGCGAGATGCAAAGTATCTCATGGCGCTAACAAAGGTGGGCTTACATCCTACGTAGTCAACACTTCACTGATAAACTCATTCAATCTCAGAGGAAATCCAGGGAAGCGCGCGCACGGTCATCAGCAAAACTAGCAAACCATGGTCTCGCATGGCCACGGCGCCCGAAACTGACCTACCCTTTCCGGAAACCGCAAGCGCCGCCTAATTCTGGCCAACTCCCATCCCTCCTGACGGAATCTGGCCATAGAGCATCTGCGCGGATGGACACCGGTAATGATAGACAGGTATGTATCTTACGATATTACTTCATACCAGTTACTTTGCATGAGACAAGGTGCGCGGAAAATAAGACTATGCAAAGCCGCCAAGCGCTCCGACCCTCCACCACATCCTCCTCGGCATTCCTCACCAATCTCCTTCCTCTCCCGAGCGCGCTCGTTGTCGTTGCCCATCCTCCTCTCTGCCTCCGCCCTCTCCGCCTCCTCATCTACGACACTTTGCGGATCTTCTCCGAGCCGCCGAGCCTTACCTCGCTCGCGCCACGCGCGAGGCTAATGGAAAAGTCGAGGATAGATTGGAGCTCCACGTCAGAAAGCTGGGTGGTCATGATGGTGTTGACATATGAAGAGGCGCATACATTGCTGCGCCTCGGATCGATGCGTACGGCACTGCACCGAACACATTCTATCCCTACCCCATCTTCAGGCACGCAACCGTTCAAGCAAAGGCATATAGGAGAGGCGGGTAATGCTATTTGATACAGTGAATACTGAGTCACTTCGCTATATTGTCATAGAATACGGGCGACGAAAAGAATGCAGCACATCAGACACTTTCACTGAACAGCGATCGTCTCACCACCGCCAACTGAAGGGATCTCCAAACCTAATACAGAGCCCCGGACGAATGGTGCAGTGGCTGCCCCGTCTGAATGAGCCTCTTGCGGATGCACAACCGCCTCTGTCGTCGTTACGTCCTTCAGCTGCCCAGTTCTCTTCAATTGCTCAAGCGGG